TAAATTATTATATATTCCATTAAAATAATAATTACGACATTGATTTAGAGATTCCATACAATACATTATTTAGGAAAAAGTAAATTTTTAATTTTATCAATTAAACCCCTTTGTCTTATAAATTTAATTTACATATTAATTATAATATTGGCATCATTGTAATATATTTTTTCTAACCTCACGTAACCTAGGGTGTATTCCGAAATATACATCAGTATACTGACCAGTGGTAATGACGTCACGAATCCGACGCCATCTTGTACCGGTATGCTACCATATTTTTACCGGGAAAATGAATATGACGTATGACCGTATACTGTGCCTGATATGAATTCGAATTTTGTTTCTTTTTTATTTAAAGAATAATAATGGCATCCGAACAAACATAATTCCTTTTAATTGATGAGGTGAATAAAAAATCTTCTTCATTCGCACTCTTTTTAATATTCCTACGATTTATGACGTCAGTACACTGGCCAATATATTTCGGAACAATTCACCAGTATAGCGTCGATTCATGACGTCATTAGCACTGGCCAGTATACTGGTATATATTACGGAGTACACCCCTAGCCTACCCAGTTGCATATAAAATGAACGAATGAATTGCAGACTAATGAACGTCTGACCAACTCACAGTGGGTTAGGTTAAGTTAATGTTGTGACCTAAGCGGTCGGCGAAGCACCAGCGCCATTGATAATACATAAATAAAATGATGAAAAATCGCCTTTTTTACACACATTGCCGAATGCGCAGTCGCTATTGTATTATAATAATAATAATAAACATTTGTTGACTTTAAGCGAGTTACAATATAAAATATTTTTAAACTGATAAGACAAAAATTTGTGACAATAGGCACATTGGAGCTTAAATATTGTAGACAGGCAACAGGGGACCTTGTTGCCTGTCTATGTACATAAATACTGTGGCCAATATAGGTGTTGCGCACATTAGTTGTATCATTAACTGATATATATATATATACCCAGGCAAAGTATATAAAGAATAATATTTCATAAATGCCTTGACGAAATTTTGTTATCAATCTAGTTACACCGGCATTGGTTTATTTGTTGAACTTTCGTCTCAGAGCAAGTTGAATAGAGTATAGGTATTGTTACAAAATGCCGAATTATACAGATTGCCGGTATATACACGTAAACATGAAAATCCACAGACATAGCCAAGATTAATACATAATAATACTTAGTAGTTCTGTTAAAACCAATTTTGCTTTTGCATGCAGTAAATCGAAAAGGATCTAACCAATAATAACTACAACTAGGCTTGCCATATGGCCGGGAAATCTGCGATGGTCCCGGAATTTTGCGTTTTGTTCCGTGTCCAGTAATAGTGGTGATGACGGGGTACAGCAAACGAAATTCTATTAAGTCCGTCAGTTAGATGATCAAAAAATAATGGACACGTATTTTTTTCTTTGGGCAATCAACCAAAAAATGACAAAGTTATAGCGCGTCAAAGTTCGGGAGTAGGGGCTCGTAACGTCACTTTTAAGTGAAAATTGTATCAAAACGTGACGTCATGCGACTTCTCAAATCAATATATCTCTGCAATGTTTATATTATGTGAAAAAATAAAAAAATACGTGTCCAAAACTTTTTGATAATCTACCTGATAAACGAAGAAAAAAAATTAGTCATCATCCCTATTAGACCTTATTGTCCCGGATTCCGATAATTTGCTTGTTTCGTAACAAAATAAACTAATAACAAATGACGGTCGGCTTAATGTTTTAATTCCGAGGATTCTTGATTTAATGCTTTATTTTTTAGGGGGGAGGGGGGTCCAAATGTCCTGGAATTGATAAGCCAGCATCTGGCAAACCTAACTACAACCGACAATGAGTTGATACAACTCATTGTCAGATCAAAACAAAACTTTGTTATTTTGTATAGCTTTTGGTACACCGTTCTACAAGTGTATGGGAAACCATACAACATAACGAAGAATCGGTTATATTACTACACCTTATTTATATGCATTATCAACTAAACAAAATCCATATTTAACATGACCTTTGGGGTGTATTTCGCATAAGGAATATGTAATTGAAACTTTGGTCATTGACTATATAAAAAAATGCATAACTTATGCACAAAAAAATATATATTATAAGATAGTCGACACGATCCGACATCGACTGATATCCACTTATTTAAATTATTAAATTCTTGATTAATAATTTTTCGTAATCTCATCTTATTCCATACGGAAAGAATCCCCATGCCCAGTATAAATGAACGTATTTATGCAAACTGGAGACAAGCAATAATTTTCAAAAATAATATCTTCAGGTTTAATAAATAATGGCAGTAACGGAATATAAGTTTGTCAGTAATATAACCAACTAAGCAAAGGTTTGGCAATGAGAAAAATAGCTGACGTAAAATGATTAATCGTTATTGTAACGTCGTATCTACGCCATTACATAAATTAAATAGTTTGACATCCGTCACTCAAAATTTTTCCCTATTTTTAACAAATAAAACATAGGTAAGTATATCTTTAAAAATTTGGTTTAATTTTGGATAACATTCTAGAAAATAAATAATAATTGTTAAAAATACATCGTTCTAAATTTAAGTAAACTTTTTGTAATTTATGGTTTGTCCATGCCCAAATTTTAATTTTAATATGAGAACACGAAGCGCTGGGCGTTTTTTTGAAGTGAGAGCTGGCAACACTTTTCGATTCATTTAAGAGACGATTGGTCATCTTTTTTAAAAATGTGAAATTTAACATTAAAACCTAACTTTTTTTCCAAAATGCGCTCATTGCGTTAATTTAAATTAATAAAGTGGTTCCCGTACCGGGAATCGAACCCGAGCCTCCTGGGTGAAAGCCAGAACTATTTAATCTATATAATGGCGTAGATACGACGTTACATTAGTAATAATGTAATCGCCAGACCTTTCAATAGTAAGAAACTAAAAGGAAACGATTTTCTGGTCTGCAATTAAAGGAGGTATTCGCTTGGGCCAATTAAAATACAGTTTATGGAACTTCCTTCTGTTTAAATCTAAAGAAAATATAACTAGAAAAAATTCCACGCGGACCAGGCAGCAGACGGGACTCGAACCCGCACCCTTTGCAATCCGGCCGTGAGTCAGTGCATTACTGACTCACGGACCGCGTCGCAATTCCTCTAGCCATTCTTAAGGTGCAAGGCAGCGCCATCTCTTCGCATTATAGGTAAGCCACAATGTCAAATGAATACTTTTACAAGTATTAATCATTTGAAAGTAGAAATAGCAATTATAGTTATAATTTTTATTTTTTTTAAAGCATGTAACTGCTTGATGTTTAAATCTAAAGAAATTCCTTTTGTTTGTTAAGACACCATGACTATTAATTTTTATGTCAAACAATCATCATCCTTTGACTGTATTATACACATGTAACATGCCCAATTTGTTCTTAAAGTCACAGATTTCGTTGGTAGATTACGAAGATTCGTTAAATAAAATCAGTACGTTTACATCATTCTAGTGACACTGAGCAAATAGGTCCATCGTTTAAAAAAAAATTGCGTCCAGTTGGCATACACACGTTTATATTGTAAATTTAAAAGGTTAAAATGCATCTTTTTTGGTACGCGTAATACTAATCTTGGCACACTAGCTAAATAAATATACCAACCAAGGATAGAACTAACGTCTATCGACACATAAAATACCCTCAATAAAATTACCCAAGTAGTCAGTTATATACGTCAAAACAATTAAAAATCATCTGATATATCTTGACCTGTCCGAAGTTAGCAAAACCAACACGTTTGAATATAAATATTTCCAACACTCACAACAATTAGCCTAGCCCCAAAGAAAGCACTGTAAGGCTTGTGTTATGGGATACTAGGGTAACGGATAGAATAGAATACATATACAGAAATTATAAGTATATTTATATGGAAATGCATAATAAACATTCATGACTGGAATACAAATGCTCGTATTCATCACACAAACATCTGCCCCCACTGGGATTCGAACCCGAGACCTCTCGAGTCGGCGACACCATGAAACCCGGCGTACAAACCACTCGGCCACGGAGGTCGTCTAAACTCTTTCACTTTTATTTTTGAACTTCATTTTATTACTGTAGCTACTTGTTAAGGCTCATGAATTAGCCTCATTCAGGCTGATTAAAATGGTTCCGATGTGATATTCTTAATACAAAACTCGAATAGGAAATCTATGAGAAAACATTTAATTTCTAATGTCAATTAGTGTTTTTTATTTATAGTCTTCAAAACGTTTGGTTTTACTTCATTAATAAAATTGTATACTGCGCAGCCACGCGGCTAACTTCAGACAGGTTAAGATACATCGGCCTAACAGTGGGCGCAACAATACATTCAAAGATTATAAAGAGCAATGAAAACATCAACAGAGAACCATTAATACATTTTTCTAGTTTACCAACGACGAAGGCTTGCCACAAGACTCATATACAGCAAAGAGTACTTTTAGTTGTAGGTAAAAAACTTTTGGGACCTGCAACAGTATTATAAACATATGGATGTTGAATACAGTAGACCCGCGGTAATCCAGACCCGGTATAATCCGGCGCCCCCTGTAATCCGATACGCTTATCACTGTTGATTTACACATGAAATAAGTTGAAATACATTTTTAGATTTGTAATTTGTCGGATTACAAGGTACTCTTATTCCACAAAATACCGGACTACATAGACTATAGAGTGGGCTTAGACAGTACTCTGTTATCCGACAAATTTGATAAACCGACATCGCCCTGCAGAACGTTTGTCGGATTACCGCGGGTCTACTGTAATTGTAAAATTTATAAAAGATCGGCAAGCCTTCTATAACTCTCAGTTATAAAGAATCGAACCTAAAATGGCAAAGCAATATATTCTATCCTTCTATAGAATGACTCTCGTCGCAATTTGAGGTTAGTTTTTTTTTAATGATGCGAGTTCTTTGAAAAATATGTTATTAATATCGCTATACCTATAGTTTGGCTTGAGGTCTGGCGACTGCTTCTCGCCACCACGAGGCGCGACCGAATGTGTCCGGATTGCTGAACAACGCTGTTTGAAGGTTCTGGTACAACTGTTGACAATAAATTATGTTAAAATAAACACGATTACACGAGGAGCTCGATGGCGCAAATGGTTAGCGCGTTCGGCCGCGATCGATGAAGTAAAGCGACTTTCACAGTGGTCGGTCCTAATGACCGACCACTGCGAAAGTCCATGGCTGACCAAAAATTTACTATCTCGAGCTCCTCCGTGCTTCGGAAAGCACCGAGCTCCTCCGTGCTTCGGAAGGCACCGAGCTCCTCCGTGCTTCGGAAGGCACCGAGCTCCTCCGTGCTTCGGAAGGCACGTTAAGCCGTTGGTCCCAGCTGCATCTGCAGTCGTTAGCACCTACCGATCCGCACTGGGGCCGCGTAGTGGGACATGACCTAATCTCCCTATTCCATCCATAAGAAGGCCTGTGCCCCAGCAGTGGGGAAATTATTAGGCTAGTGATGTGATGTGAAACACGCTTAAACGGGTTTAAAATGTTATTACTGTTTTGACGTTTGTTTTATAACCTTTTTTTAAATTTTATTATTCTGAAGTGTATTATAACTGTATCATTTTTGGTTTTCCCTAATGAATTTTATTTTTATTGTTAACCAGTAGAGGTGGATTTGTTCTAATTTTTGTAAATGCAAATTTGGAGGTGCGAGATTCTCTGTCACAGGTGTGTTTCACTTAAAAGAGGATCTCAACAACTGTTGGCCGTACCAACTTGTACAGAAATAAAAAAAAAAATTTCAAACTGCGTTGTCAGAATTATGTTTTTTTTTTACTTATGACATGCTTTCTTCGAATGTCTTTTGTTGAAAGTTCGGATACTTCATTTTAAGATTATTGATTGAATAATAATATGTATATATATAATAAAAGAGATGGAATACGGTCATGCATAAAGATGGAGCTGATTGGCTTGATATACCTGTGTTTTATTTGGGAAGCTAACCAAAATTTACTATGTAGTATATTAGTTTATAGACATTAGTTTATAGGAATATAACAGAATTAATTAAAATGAGGTTATGTAACGATTTTAGTTGAGAATGCAGATTTATAGAGCTAAGGATTCCATAAAATAGAGTGATTAAATTTTTGTTCTACGACAAATATTGACGAATTTATGACCAAATTACTAAACAAATTTTCGGCTGGCCGCGGGGTGATTGTGACGTCACAGAGCTCTAGCGCTCGGGCGCGAGCGTGCAGAAAGGAACATGTCAACATCCACAAATTTTCGACTTTATTGTAAACAAACACGATTCATACTCACATTCCCGTCGCTCTTCCCCAGCACCGAATTCAAAATGAAGTCAGTTGGTGCGAGAGCATCAGCCACACTGACCATTTCTCCCTTCAGTTCACCGCAAAGTTCCAAAATGGCGTCTCTCAATAGCCTCGCCATCAAATCTCCTTTCCCATAACCACCTTGGTACAACTCTACCAAATGCTTATCCAAAGACCACAGACCGTACAAATAAAACAGTTTGTACAACACAGGTTTCAACTCCCTCTCTTTCTTCGCAATAGATTGGACAGAGAACACTATAGCTAAATATTCGGCGTACACTCTCGTTAAGGTCTTCCATCTGTACACTTGAGATTTGGTTTTAGCTAGGAACTTGGACAGGCCTTTGGTTACTTCCGCTTCGTATTTCTCGTGAGTTTCCTTTAGGAGCCAACATAACAGCCATTTGTACGTGTCCGTTATGACTGCAAAGGAATATAAGCCATAGGTTAAGACTTTATAAAAACTACCGCTAAAAATTAAGAAATTTTCTTTTCTTGAGTCCAAAGTGCCAACCCAAGAAGTAAATAGAAACTCTCTCAGATCTCAGTTCCATCCACCTTTTTATGCAATCAATAAACACTAATATATAATGTATGAAAATTTTCAAAAACTTATCAAATAACATATTGTATGTAAAGAAAATACTTCTTAATGTATGCTAGAAAGGGAAATCGTCAAAAAAATGTTTTTGTTGAAGATACTAAAAGCTGTTTTATAATTGTCATCATTCGGCAATACGACGACACCTACTGAGGCACAGGCCTTTATTTTTATGGCTTCTATTCATGTTATAGACATTAACGGGATTGTTACCATGTACCTTGTTTTTTATGAGTCTCCGATATCTCGGCACTTTTCTTTACTCGATATTTCGGGTTGCAAGCGTGATCATGGCGCGGAGTAACTGAACTAATTGCGGGTAGATTTTATTGGCAGACATATCGGTCTACCCTCTGTCGTCGTCTTTTACTGCGCTCGCAATTATACTGTTCATGTCTTCTAATAAGATGTTTTACAAGTTTAAGAAATCGATCTCACGTTATTTACTAATGTTTATGGAGTCCATCAAAGCTTCATAAAATGATTTTAGTCATACTGTTGAGTATTTTAGTAAAAAAACTAAATCAAAAATTCCATTTTGAATAAGATGTTTTAGAAGATAGTTTTAGATATCGATCTCACGTTATTTACTAATGTTTATGGAGTCCATCAAAGCTGCATAAAATAACATTAGTCATTCTGTTGAGTATTTCAGTAAAAAAAACTAAATAAAAATTCCATTTTGAACTTGCCGCGAAAACGTTTCTGTGGAAATAATGGCGTCTCACTAGCATGTGACGTCACGCTGTATGTGACAGTCATTAAAACGTCAAACGACACAATGTAATGTCACTTTGACCGGAAGTTTACTAGTGTGTGACGTCTTTTTTGTCTTCGCCAATCCCAGGTGCTTTCGGTCACGTGATCATAGAATTAAAAATCAAATTTCTATTTAGTGGTTTTTTTAGAAAAGTTATTAATTATTTGTCCATATTAAATATAGATGGCAACATATGGTACTTTATTTTTAATACTGTCAAAAAGCCTATCATTATTATTACACAATCTGATGGACAAATAAATATTCAAACAGCCTTACAGTGCTTACTTTGGGGCTTGGCTAATTGGTGTGTGTAAAAAAAAATAGAATAAATATTCTTCTACTTATGTCCGAACAGGAAAACAACTCACATTGCACCGTCTTCAGCTGACTAGTGTCTGTGCAAGAGAACGCCTTTCTTGATATGCTATTGTAGTCCTTCAGGAAGGCGACAGTTCCCAATGGAGAGTCGACAGTGTTCCCGTTTATAGCAGCTTGGTATTGCCGTAGAAGCCAATTGCCGGCCTGCTGAGATAAAACGTTGTTGTCTCCCTCGTAGGTCACTGTGGGCTCGTGGTTGCTTCGTATGTCGCCTATACGGGCGCACTGTACCAGAAAATATTGATAAACGTCAATAAAAATAAACACAGTATAAATTATCATCAGCCTATTAATGTACCCATTGCTGGGGCACAGGCCTTCCCAATAGATGGAATAGGGCGATTGGGCCATGACCGACCACGCGGGCCCAGAGCGGATTGGTGGGTGCTTAGGTTACTGTGAGCTCGTGGTTGCTTCGTATGTCGCCTATACGAGCGCACTGTACCAAACAATATTGATAAACGTCAATAAAAATAAACACATTATAAATCATCATCATCACAGCCTATTAATGTACCCACGCTGGGGCACAGGTCTTCCCAATGGATGGAATAGGGAGATTGAGCCATGACCCACCACGCGGGCCCAGTGCGGATTGGTGGGTGCTAACGACTACAGATGCAGCCGGGACCAACGGCTTAACGTGCCTTCCGAAGCACGGAGGAGATCGAGATAGTAAATTTTTGGTCACCCATCCAATGACCGACCACTGCAAAAGTTGCTTAACTTCAACGATCGCTGCCGAACGCACTAAACAATTGCGCCACCGAGCTCCTAGTCTCCTCGGTATGAATACATATTATAAATAATGGTCAATTTTAAATTGACTTAATCTATCATCATTAGAGATCGGATAATCGGATGCATATTTATTGAAGTGACAACTTCCTATGGGAGTGTAAACTGCGTAACGCGTTACGGCGCCAGTCTGTCTGTCTCCCCTTCGCCGTAACCGGTCCCCCCGCTTATGAAGATAGACGCCACAGTCCACCCAGGTACCAGAGGGGTTTTCCCTAGATCCACCCTACTTCCTCACCCATCAATCCCCACAATCACCCTCGAATCCATTTCACCCTCCAATCCCCCTTTTCACTCTTGAATCCTCTTAACACACTCCAACAGACTTGTTATAGTAGTGTATGTCTTTTTAAGAAAAAGTATTATTATTATTATAAGTTTTACCTTCAGAAAGCCGTACCCGCCGCAAGCTTCCCTGCACTGTTGTATGGCCTCTAACACAGTCCACGACAGCGTGGTCTTGCTGCACGAAACCATCGCGTGAATCTCCCCTACCGCCTCACTCTACGAAAAACAAACCAGTTAATATTACAAAACAGTACCCCTAGCAAGAACCAATATCGAATTCGTATCGTTTGCGAGTCCGAAATGTCATTGTCAAATGTGTACTGATTTTTAGTTCTCGTTACGTATTTTGTGCCGCTGCTGTTCAAGTTTCAAATTTGACATTGACAGTAACACTAGCACGAACCAATATCGAATTCTCATAATTTGCTAACCGAAATGTCAATGTCAAATTTTGTATGGAAACTTGAACAGCAGCACCACTTTGGACGTAACGGGAACTTAAAAATCAGTACACATTTGACAATGACATTTCGGACTCGCAAACGTTACGAATTCGATTTTGGTTCGTATTAGGGGTACAGGTCGCAGCACGTAACTTTGACGCTGAACAAAACGCGTCAGGGATAGCTGAGCATGGGTGCGACTGGAGACACAATCGGCGCAACGCCATAGAGGTATAAGAATAGAGTAAGGGAGATATAGATTTTACCTACAAATGGAAGTGCCCCTCTAATAGAAAGGGAAAGAAGATGAGAGACCGTTAGCTTTCTCTCTCTAATCGCGCATGCGCATTAGCAACCGTAAGCATCTTACTATTTCGATGTGATGCCATTGGATGCCATGCGTCACAAGAGAGAGAGATAGCTAGCGGTCTCTCATCTTCTTTCTCTTTCTACTATATGGACACTTTTAGAGCCGCCTTCCCCACTCTATAATTATACCTTTATGCGCAATGCACGTCCATCCGCGCACCTCGTTTCCCCCCAACACATCTTAATTTTTACTTCTGCTCAATACCGATCAGCGCTAGACTTTCGTTCCGCGACTTATACAAATAGTTAACAAGCATAAATCTATAGAAAATATTACTAGAAAAAACGCGGTCCAGGCAGCAGACCGGACTGGAACCCGCACTTTCCGTTATCCGGGCGGATGCAATGACTAATTACTCTACCGCGAACTTAATATACATATCGAATTTCTTCTAGTTTTGCTGAGGCTGCAAGGCAGCGCTATTTCTTCACATTGTAGGACACCCAAACCGCCTTATTACAAAACGTAGACTAAAGTTAAACATGGACTAAAACTGATGCTGTCATTTTTGATTGCTTAAAAGAAGACAAAGACAACATCAGATTTATACCAAGAGTTACTTTTTTTGTGTCACTAAACAGGCCCTGCCGGAATTACAGCGCTGGTGCGACATAATGTCGTATCAGCTAATGCTGAGATTTTTTCAATTTGTATCTTTAAATGTGTAAATGAGGGTTAATAAAATATATTCTATTCTATAACTTAAGTGCGCGTTTTGAAAAAAGGCAGCTAACGTCCAACGAACTTTATGCTAGCACTTCACTCTCGCCGAGGTTAGGCGAGGGAGCGCGATCACGAGAATATAGTCGGGGCCCTCGGGTCACATCGCCGCGCCTCGCCTCACTTTGCCTGCCCTCCGGCTGGAGTCGGTTTTATGGCGCGAGTCAAAGGGCGCGAAGTGGGGAGACGAGGCGAGGCGCGGCGTCCACATTCTCGCGTTTATTCAATCAGTATGATACCAGATTTTTTTGTGAGACATAGTAAAAATTTTTGCAGGTTTATTTAGAAATTAAACGAATAAAAAACTCATACATTAATCGTATTTTAAAATAAAATAAAGTCGGTTTTACGGGCGAAGATTTTACGTGACAACGTCTTTTTCTCGGTAGAATATTTATTGATATGAATATAATTAAATTGCACAATAGGAACAAGGAATTGAATGAAAATAAGAATTGCACAAATTTTAACTATAGAAATATATTTTGTTTACTAAAACATTGTACATGTAAACTTAAACTTAACACGAGAGACTCATCGTAACGTTACCGAGCGTTACACTTTTTCATAAGTGACTCCCAGCCGCAACCTAATTTAAGACGTTGTCACGTCAAAAAATTGTAAGTCATAAATTGGTTACAATTTTTGAAGTTATACTTCTTTAGGCGCGTTATGAAAAAATGATGAGAGTGAAATTTTAAGATGCGCGCGCATCACTGTAACACAAAATTTTAACATAATGAAGTTGGTCGCTTTAGCGATTCGCATTTCCTATTATGGGCAATTCAATAACTCAAAGGTTGAGCAAATAGCAATCATATAATTCGCAGCAAATTAGACAAAGCCGCCTGAAATTAGGTGTAAGTGGAGTTCAATCATGAAGATAGCTGGATGAGGCAGAAGCGCTCCAGCTAACCCCACCCGGAAAATTTGCTGTGACGTGACGTACTATCGCGGAATTTTGCGCTCTGTCACTTGGCGAACAAAATGCTTTGAACGGTTTTCTACAGTAGTTTATACTACGCCCCGCCTTCGCGTCGGACGCGCCAATCCGGGCCGCCGCACAAAAGTAAGACAGAGAGCATTTCATTGATTGAATAATGAATTCGCATCGTCATCGCGACAGCGCTATACGAAAAAGTAAGTCAGCGATAATTACATGTCTATGAATGAATTTTCACTACGCCGCTACCGCAAGCGATTATGGCATTATGGGTGACAGAGCGGGTCTTTCCGCGAGTGTACCTATGTGGGAATGATGAGATATGAATTTACGTATATTGATCTATACATAACGTGACGCATCTATCTTTATATTCGCAACTCCTGCGAACTTAGAAATTTTAAACGTTACTATAATACAAACCGGGGAATAAAATAAGCGAGGGCAGGTCAGTCAATAGTCTCATTCAAATAATATATCTCACCCAACCACGAAAACTGCGATCAAGTAGGCGGGGCGAAATGAATGCGATCTCGATGCGAACACGCCTATCATGGGATTGGTTGAGATTTCCGTTTAACATTATCTTACCCAATGAATGGATAGCGGAATTCTTTTGCAAAATGTGAGTGTTGATATGTCAAGGAATTTTCTTTTGTCTATGTGTGCGTGTCTCGTTTTTTTTTTGATGTTTACTTTAATTTTTAGAGATTAGTGCTTCCATAACATTTAAAATTTGTTGATCTCACCAGATTGTCGACGCGTTCTCCGGAGTTTGACTTCTCCACGATGCTGAGGTAGATATTGGTGAAGTTCTCGACGTACAAGCGGAACACGATCGCCGCCGACGCGTACCCGAATAGTCTCCATTGCTGTTGACATGCGAACAAAGAAAATTACAATCACGTTTTTGAAGTGAAACTTCTTTACGCTTGACTTAGGGCGTAAACTAGCGAATTCATTACGCGTTACGAAAAGTGTGTTCGAGCGAGACGAACGGGAGTTTAGTGGGGGCAAGAGAAAGCAGTGCGCGCGCACATTTTCTCTCTTTCTTTTATGGTTAGTATGTGAAATATGTATATGTACATACATGTATATACTGTACACACATTTATATGTGTGTGTATGTGTATATATATATATATATATATACACATACAGATGGATCCAAAGAAGTTAGACGCCATAACGTTTTCTCGGTAAGTTAAAAATTGAATTACTAATTTCGTTTTTTTACTGAATTACACAACAGAATTAAAAATATCCACTTTATATGGACTCCAATAACATTAGTTAATAACGTGAGAACTTTTTCTAAGACTTGTCAAATACTTTTTTACAGGGCAGATCATTAGTATTTATTGTTTAAAACTTTCATGGTCACTAACATATAGTAATATAAGTTATTTACGGGATTGTTACCGTGTACCTTGTTTTTAGCGAGTTTGTTCCGATTACGGATCAGTGATCATGGCGCTTGCAACAGTGCCGAAATATCGGAAACTCGCTAAAAACATGGTACATGGTAACAATCCCGTAAATAACTTATATTACTATATCATTAGTATTTTATGAGAAAATCCTTTGTTTCGCTGTGTGGTCCCGACATGTCACTCGGTTTTTTTTTGAGTGTATATGCTGTTGGTCGCCGATGACCTTTTCAGCGTCACCGGGTTTGGGGACGGCGAGATCCTAAGGGGACCTCAAGCCGAGAATTGGCGAGTGCCTCTGGAGGTATTCCAGGCGGTTGGCATCTTATCACGGGGGGATTCTCCTCTCCGTCTGAAGCCTCTAGACCACTCGAACCTGAAGGGGTCGGCTCAACTAGAGGGCGTCGCTGAGACTCGGACCTCGGCTCTAGTTAGCCGTTGTCGTGGAGTGCGGGGAAAAACGCCCAGGTACGTACCTGGTAAAGAGTGTCGTGTGTAGACCGGGTCTTCCTACGGTTGCGGTGTATGCCTAATGCTAAGAGTGTGCAAGTATGCTAGCTGCGTAGTGTTGGTGTTTGTGGCCTGTGTGGGAAGGAGTCGGAGGCGACTCCAACTTGACGACCTCCGTGGCCGAGTGGTTTATACGCCGGGTTTCAAGGTGTGGCCTTCTCGAGAGATCCCGGGTTCGAATCCCGGTGGGGGCAGATGTTTGTGTGATGAATATGAGCATTTGTACTGCATGGATGTTTAATATGTGTTTCTATATAAATATACTTATATATGTATCAGTTTATGTATTCTATCCAAGGGCGGATCCAGGGGGGGGGGGGGGTCATGGGGGTCATGACCCCCTCTGGGCTGGGTACAGATGGACCAAACCCAGGGGGATTTTATTTAAGTACTTTCAATATTTAATATACCACGACTATGTGACCCCCCCCTGGACCAAAGCTGGGTATATGACCCCCCCCCCTGGACCAAAGCTGGGTATATGACCCCCCCCCCCTGGCGCTAAAGCTGGATCCGCCCTTGATTCTATCCGTTACCCTAGTATATCATAACATAAGCCTACAGTGCTTACTTTGGGGCTAGGCTAATTGGAAATATTTATTATTATTATATTATTATTATTATTAACTTGAGGGGGTTTCACCGGGTAACTGAGCAACTGACATGCAGTTCGTACTCGATCAGCGGTATCTCTCTGTCCCGCTCGCCGAACTGACGGCGCGATGCTGCGTACCGCAACGCTATCGCCACAGCACTCGCGATCGAGTGGCAACTTTCTTGCATGATGCCGACCCGACCTGCGCAAACAAAAATATTATGATAAAATTAGGGTTATTAAGAAAGTTCATGTCGCCAGTCGCTACAACTGTATATGAGGTCTTTTCAATCTAATTTTCGAGTTCATGGAGCGAGAATTTAAATTCGTTCATAGACAATGTCGATAATGCGACTAGTGGCCCGCCTTCGCTTCGATTCCCTATTTTATCCCCTTGGGGGTAGAATTGATCAAAATCCTTTTTTTTAGCGGATGCCTACGTCGTAACATCAACCTGCATGCCAAATTTCAGCCATATCCGTCCAGTGGTTTGAACTGTGCGTTGATAGATCACTATGTCAGTCAGTCAGTCACCTTTGAGTTTTATATATATATGTATAGATTTGACGGATGAATAGACCTTCCGGCTGAGTGCATCATCTGGCATCTGCCATTACAGAAAACCCTAATTTACGTAGTGTAAAACAAGGAATAGATAAAAAGTTTTTTTAACACATCTATTCGAAAAGAGCTAGCTTGTTCTCTGTTTACAGGGACCAATATAGCGTTTTAATCCCTAGGTACTAAAAGTGAGTCGAATAAGGAAATTCCTATATTATATATATTAAAATAATAGAAATTATAAATATGGATATTGTTAGTAAAAGTTCGCCAAAGTGATAAATCACGAATATTTGATGAATAAGTCACAGGCTGTATAAAAACTAACCGCACGACAAGCGCGCATTAAAAATAAAGTTAGTGAAAAAAAAATGTTTTCGTTCATAATTGTTTACTCTAATTCTGATTTTATTCTGTTTTATAAGTAATGCTATAAACTTAGATTAAAACAAAAAGGGAAGATACGGTACGCTCATACTAGCATCAAATAAATTATGATCAGGCTCAACTACATAAGCAGGTCTCACACACGCACTCGTCTGTATATAAACATTCAATCGAGCCAGTGAGACAGAACTGTACCCTTAGCACGAACCATTATCGAATTCGTAACGTTTGCGAGTCGGAAATGTCAAATTTTGTATGGAAATTTGAACAGCAGCGCCATCACGGACGTAACGAGAACTAAAAATCAGTACATATTTGACAATGACATTTTTACCCGCAAACGTTACAAATTCGATATTGGTTCGTGCTAAGAATACAGTACCCCTAGCACGAACCATTATCGAATACGAATAGTAAGCGAGTCCGAAATGTCATTGTCAAATTTTGTATGGAAACTTAAACAGCAGCGCCACAAAGTACGTAACGAGAACTAAAAATCGGTACACATTTGACAATGTCATTTAGAACTCGCAAACGATTCGAATTCGATATTGGTTCGTGCTAAGGGTACTGTACGCTTCAGCGCAGCGCGAGCGAAACGGCGAATCCGCTTTCGAGTACTGAACGGCTGAGCTGTATTGTTGTCCTTTTCCTGATAACAAAATGACGATTAGGTAAATAACATTCACGACAAACCGTGTATTTTGAGAAAAAATGTTTTAACAGTTTTACGAATGAAAAGTGTTGACGAGGAATTTGTTATTTGATTTTGACCTATTTGTATTCTTTATAAAGGCATCGAAGGCATTGTTTTATCTTTATAACACAGAATAAACGCAATACAGTGGAGCCCCGGTAATCCTGCCCCTGGCTAATGCGGCACCCCCTATAATCCGACATCGTCTATTACATACAAGTATTCGCTAATTCACGATTGAACAAGTTACAACTTGTACGCACCATCACTATTGTGCTCGACGCGCAGGGTGTTGTTTTTTTTTTTGTAAATTCTATAGCATTACTGATAAATACTTTTATAATAAAACATAATCTTTCTATTGTGTTGTTTAATTTACTAAATTTGACATAACAAATAAAGTATGATTTGTAATCTTATCATTGGATCTGTAATTTCGGATTTCAAGGTACTCTGTTGTAAAAAAAAATCGGACTATAGGGGTCTTAGGCAGTACTATATAATCCGACAAATTCGATAGTTCGACACTGCCCTGCAAAATGTTTGTCGGACTACCGGGGATCCACTGTATTGTTATATTGAGTGCACAATTGCACATGCAGCGTGTTATAATGTCCAATTGTGACGTAAACGAATTATGGTCATGCACCACAATTTAAACGGATCACTTTTGAGCCGCGAGTGTATCTTCCCTTTTTGTTTAAATCTAAGGCTATAAATCACAAAAAACCAGATAATGTTAACAGAGCTAACATGAAGTACACTTTGACAAAAACCCTACTCAATACTCGAAAATCATTTTCTATGAATAAAATGTAAAGATTCTATTGACCAACAAACAGATTTACGATCATAAACATTATATATATTACGATCATATATATTATAGATCATATATCACGACCTCCGTGGCCGAGTGGTTAAACCTACGCCGGGTTTCATGGTGTCGCCAACTCGAGTGGTTCCGGGTTCGAATCCCGGTGGGGGCAGATGTTTATGTGATAAATTCGAACATTTGTACTCCAGTCATTGATGTTTAATATGTATTTCTATATGAATATACTTATATATATATATTCTATACGTTACCCTAGTATTCGGTTACACAAGCCTTACAGTGCTTATTTGGGGCTAGGCTAATTGGTGGGAGTGTTGGAAATATTTATTTATGATATTTATATTTGTTTCTTTAGTATTCACAGACACCACACATTAATGAAACAAGTTTTTAACGGGGTTCAATTGCATTTGAACACATGTTTTACAAAACTTGAAATGCACGAAACATCAGGTCATTAAGAATGTTTTTTAATCCCGTTGAAAAACTTTTTTCATTTATATTTACGACCTTTACAAACACTTTGAAAACTCATAGGTACTAACTGTCTAAGCGTGGGGGACTGCACGAGGATCCAAAGGTCCAAAAAACTAACCAGCCTCTTATCAATTTTCAAAGTATAGATGGATTACTACTCCCTAGAGGAAATAAATAAATAAATTATCAAAAAAAAAGCAACCAAGTCAGCTCCGGGCTTTTTATGGACACCATAAACATTAATCAATAACGGGAGATCGTTTCCTGAAACTCGTCAAATACCCTATTCAAACCACATTTGGAGTAAAGTCATCTCGGAAATCGCTCTATCATCTAAATAGCAGAAATGCAGTCGGTTAAGGCACTCTGATTTTCTAGTCAAGACTCCTAGCTGTCCCTGGTTACCTTATTTGAACGGCAAATATAAGTTGTCTATGACACCAAATATTAATGTATACGCCCATGACATTTTAATTCAATATTGATGCAATTTTCCTTGACTATTTTAATAATGAATAGATTAGTAGTAGTATTTTTTGGGACATTGCATATTATTCAGTCATCAGTTATCATTAGCCTATTAATGTCCCCACTGCTGGGGTACAGTCCTTCACTATGGATGGAATAGGGAGATTGGGCCATGACCCACAACGCGAGCCTAGTGCGGATTGGTGGGTGCTAATGACTGCAAATGCAGCCGGGACCAACGTGCCTTCAGAAGCACGCGGAAGAGCTCGAGATAGTAAATTTTTGGTCACCCATCCAAATGCGCAGCAAATCAAAATCCAATGCAGCAGCCGAACGCGCTAACCACTTGCGCCAACGCCGCCATTATCTATTTAGACACATCACTGGACCTCATTAATGTAAATTTCCTGAAATATTTGCACGTTGATATTCAACTAAATATGCTGGAAACTAAAGAAATAAGTAACAATTATTGTAACCATACTTTGGCAAATAAATGATTATTATTATTATTACCAGGGATGTAACGGAGGTAAATTTATCGGAACCGAAATCGAAGTCAGAGTTTTTAAATTTGATTTATCGGAGGCGGAACCGGAGTCGGAGGCAGAGTCGGAGACGAGAGATATTTTTGCATTTAAGACAAAATAAAAACATTATTCAGTCAACCTTTTTTCCTTGTAATAAATAAAATAACCTTTCTTCATTTAAATTTACTTATTATTAACACAGACTCCCAACGCTACGGGTATGAACCAGTTCGTAGGGGTCGACGCAAGCCACCGTCGCTCGCTATTTTCTATGCTTCGACCTCCGATTAAAACCTCCGATTTAAAAGTTTCGGAACCGAAATCGGAACCGAAGGTGTAATAGTAATCGGAAGTTCCGACTTAACGGAGTCGGAGTCGAAGCTCCGTAACATCCCTAATTAATACTATTATCATGAACCCTAAACATAAGAGAACACAATCATATCATAAAAATAAACGAAATATATTAAGTAGGTAAGTATGTGTTTCTTGAGATTTCTAGCACACCAATCATTAAATGAAACAAGTTTTTTAACGGGTTAAAATGCGTTTTTAATACTTTTTTACCATAATTCTGGCGACGCTTTCTGAAAAGGAAGCGAAACGTCAAGTTATGTAAAAAAGTATTAAAATAGTAGATTATTAACCAAGCGGATAAAGCAGTGTCTTCTGTCGCGGGTGACGATTTAAATCGCGAACGTAACGAAGGACTCGAGGTTTACTCCCGAGCGTAGCGAGGGTGTTAAAAACTTAAATCACGAGCGAAGCCAGGGATTTAAGACGAGTCCTGAGTGTGGCGAGGGATTTAAGTTCACCCAAGACTAAAACAGCTTTATCACCGAGGAAAATACTGTACTTTTCGTATCATTTGCGAAAAAATTAACACAATAATAATATGAGATAAGCATTTTTATTAAAAATAATGACAATTAAAAGTAAAAGTTAACATTCGAAACATTGGTCCAATTAAATACGGCCTCGTCGGTTTTCGTAATTTTATTTAATAATCATAACTCCACAATAAATGAGTATTCCTTTTTCAAAAAGATGTATAATGCTTTATATACAAACTCAATGGTGTAAACACAGATGTAGTTCAGTATAAATTTCGGTAAGTATTCCAAATTTAAATCACATTCTCCCCCTAGAGGATGAATGAAATTCAGTACAATTTTCTTTCCCTGTTTTTAACAGATTAAAAATGACTATTGTTATGTTCGCTTTTTTTGGCATAGAATGTCACTTTTTTGAGCAAGTGGTACGAAAACGCATTTTTCATTTCTCATTCTCGGAAAGTGGTGTTGTTTTGATCTGTTTGTTGGGTGGAAAATGCTGCTTCCCTCCCTAGAGATGGAAAAACTCATATAAATTACTTCCCGCCTAAGGGCCGGAATGAACTTTAAAAATAGAACTACTGTCAGGTGTGAAGAGTTTTATGTAAAAAAAAAAAAATATTATGCCATGTGAGTTTCTAAACAGCCAGTGTGAACTTAGCACAAACTTCTTTGAGCGGAATAAGCCGCAACAATTACTCTGTTCCATATTTAAATTTTAAAAGTCGACATAAATTGGCGGGATACTAAACTGTTATGTACCTGTGACGGAATAAAAAAAATCTTATAAGTAAAACAGAGCAATCTAAATTAGAATATTAAAAATGAGTTTAAGCGATTCAAAAATATTGACACCGGATTCAATTAAAGAAGAGGCAAATTGTGTTATAGAGAATCTTTTGCCAGAAATGTCAAAAGAGGATATATGAATACATACAATGATTTTATAAAGTGGCGAGCAGAGAAGAATATAAAATCGTTTCCCGAAAGTGTATTTCTTACATATTTTAATGGACTGTCTTCTTCACTTCTTCTTCAAACTTCCAGGGAGTATCCGCCATGGAATCCATCGTTTGATGAAATAACAGAGTCTCCTACTTTTACAGATATCCAAAACAGTCAAATTTGTAATAGTATATCAAAAAGCATAAACATTCCAAATAAGAATGTAATTTTAATTTCACTAATTGTCCTAATATGATAATTAATTTTAAATAGCTACTTCTAATTTTATTGTACCTATATATATACCTATTTATGAATAAATATTTTTGATAAACAACTAGTTTTATTTTAATCATATTCGAAATGAAAAGTACAGTGTTTAACTCGGGTAAAAGAATCAATTCCTACTCGGACTATAGCCGCCCTCGCTGCGCTCGGGCGTCTAAATACCTCGGGAATTGATTCTTTCCACCCTCGGTTAACAATCTACTATAAACACGTTGAAAAACTTGTTTCATTTTAGTAGGTAGTAAGTACTACAGTAGGTAAAACATCTACAATGATATTATCTGGTTGAATAAGTCCTATAAATAATGATAATAGTGTTGTACAGAAATTAATGTAGCATGACCCCTATAATGTGCCCCACATAATAATATGACATTATAACAAGATCTAGATATTAATGTTTATATTATTTATCCTTGTTGAATAACATCAAGGTTTTCAGGAAATAGTTCATCAAGCAGGTAATTGTTTTGGATAACACAGTTTTTATATAATAATAATAAATAAATATTTCCAACACTCACACCAATTAGCCTAGCCCATCAAAGTAAGCACGATAAGGTTTATAAGGTTATGGGAAGCTAGGGTAACGGATAGAATACATATAAAATATCCATGACTGGAGTACAAATGCTCGTATTCATCACACAAACATCGGGAATGGAACCCGGGACCTCTCGAGTTGGCGACACCATGACACCCGGCGTACAAACCACTCGGCCACGGAGATCGTCAACTGACGTAAAATGAATGCAACCTAAGACCAAGCAAAAGAAATAGGCGTATATGTTATACTAGGAATTTCACCAATAAACATTCGTTCTAGTTAATTAGAGTGAAGAAATGTGAAGAGATAATTCAAGGAAGCATCCTAAACAGGATGAGAAACGTCAATAAATAAATAAATCAGTGAATCTATACCGATGAAACTTGTTTTATTTAATAAGTGGTGTGCGTAAAAACCTAAGAAACAAATAAATAAATATTTCCGACACTCACACCAATTAGCCTAGCCCCAAAGTAAGCACTACAAGGCTTGTGTTATGGGATACTAGGGTAACGGATAGAATACATATACTTTACATATATAAGTATATTTATATAGAAATACATATTTAAACATCCATGACTGGAGTACAAATGCTCGTGTTCATCACACAAACATCTGTCCCCACCGGGATTCGAACCCGGGAACCTCTCGAGTCGGCGACGCCATGAAACCCGGCGTACAAACCACTCGGCCACGGAGGTCGTCAAATAGAGGTGAAATACTCCTATAATTTTTCCTTAATTATGATCTTTTAAGTTTTAATCAAATCATTATGTATTTTAAAGCACACATGTAGAACTAAGAAAGTCATCATCGATAGTCGAGCGTCAACGGCCATTTTGGTTTCTTGAGCGATAGTTCGTACAAAATACAGACGTTGCTAATGTGACCACGGGTTTTTATTGCGATAACTTTTTTTGTGGCAAGACGTACTAAGCTTCGGCGCGAATTACTTTGTGACGATACACGCAGGTGCGGCTAAAAGCTGATCCACATTCCACACGATATGTTGCACAAACAATCAAAGAATCTATATATATATAAAATTCAAAGGTGACTAACTGACATAGTGATCTATCAACGCATAGCCCAAACCACTGGACGGATCGGGCTGAAATTTGGCATGCAGGTAGATGTTATGACGTAGGCATCCGCTAAGAAAGGATTTTGATCAATTCTACCCCCAAGGGGATAAAATAGGGAATGAAAGTTTGTATGAAACTTTGTCAATTTTAAACCGATCGGGCTGAGACTTTGCATGCAGGTATAAGAAGAATCATAGATGAACGTCATTGTGTATAATAAATACAAGCCTGAGAACAAAAACTGTAGTCTACACTTCAGCTCTATACCGAAGCGAAGCGAGGGCGAGACGCTAGTAAGATTCCCATTACCACACGGCACAAATCAAGCAGACCTTTCGCGCCAGCTACAAACATGCACATTTTGTTGTCTTGTTTTTTGCCGAGTGGGCGATTGTAATTGCACTAACTTTTGTTTGTGCGCCAGTTCATAGGTAAGTTTACCACGTGAGTCGGCTTTATATTTATAGATTTTATGACTCATCTGTTAAAGTGCAGTAGTTATTTTAAAACAAAGTATCAATTTTGTGATTGCTGACTAAACCTAGCAGGGGAGACATTAATTAATAGACTATATTCAGCAAATTTTGAGCTTCTTGGAAGCTGTCGGGCTAATGAGAATATAAAGCGATACTTTAACTTGGCGAGTCACAATAATCTTTTAGAGAGAGAGAGAATCATTTTTAATGACCACATTAATAAATTAACAAAACAACATACAAAAAAAAATGAAAATATATATAATGGAGTAAAGAGAAAAAAAATACATTAATAATAGTACCATTTGTGGTCAATCAGAACCCTGCCTCAACATAATGCTGCCGTAACACGCTACAAATCGTGTCACAGCAGCGTTGCTATTCAGGCAGGGCCTGTTATGCCGGAACTTCACATGGCCAATCGCATCCGCCTCGATAGCAGTCCCTTCCTCTCACTGCCCGTAGTGGATACACATCTACCAAATAGCAAACACGATTAGCCACATGACGTGCCGGCATAAGGTGCGGAAGAATACACTTTCTGTAATCTGTGCTCTGTTCTGTAATTTTAGATTGTTGTGACTTATTTTGTGCCGCAGTAATTGATTAAAATCATCGAGAAGTCATAATCAAACCATAGTGCTGTACATTTCGTTGAATTAACATCTCCTCACCCGCTAATCCACACCATGCCAAACTTGAAGCACCCTACTGATTTCAGCCATGTTCCTAAAGATTTATTCATTTATTTGCATCCCAAATTAACATTGGTATAACAACATTTAGACCCACCTGCACCAAAACTCCCAAATCTTTGACAAATCGGGTTTCACAAATATTTACAAGTAATACAAACCTGCAGATAAGTTCTCCAGCGCTGCACCAAGAATTCTAGAAGGGTCAGAGAATGAGCTCTCGTAGACTCCATCCTCCGTGACGTCAGCGGTCCTATTGAGCAGATTCTCTCGCGGTATCCGGTAGTGATTGAACATGATAAACCTATGGATAAAAGATATGTATCAAGCGAGACTAAGGCCTGTACTATAGAAAGATTCTCAGTGATTGATCTAGTCTTGAGCATAGTTAGAAAGGGATGTCGCTATATATATAACATAGCGATATCCCTTTCTAACTGTACTCAAGTAAAGATCGACACTTAGTTGTCATTCTGTAATACGGACCTAAAAGTTGGAGGAAATAGATTAGAAATGCCGTTTTAGGGTTCCTTACGTACAAAATTAATAATAATAAATATTTCCAACACTCACACCAATTAGCCTAGCCCCAAAGTAAGCACTTCAGGCTTGTGTTGATATGGGATGGGATACTAGAGTAACGGACAGAATACATATAGAATATAATTATGTTCCACCATAGACAACAGACAATTTCCGTCTACCAAAATAACCAAACTTTTCAAGTTGGAGTTTTAATTTATGATTTTTCATAAATTAATAATGGAATTAGTGCAAAAATATATAGTGAATTAATATGTCAATTATTCACATTTGTATAATAAACGTAAAAGTTGAACGAACTAACTAAACTGAATGCAGTAACCCTTAGTACGAGTTCTTCAATTACGAAAACTATGATAGTTTTCGTGAGCTCGCACTCGTACTAAGGAATTAATGTTTTCGTTTCAATACAAATAAACAATGTTTAAATTCTATCATTATATCATTTGTTTTGTCTTCATATATTTTAAGTATATTTGATTGCTTTTCACCAAAATGGACATAGAAACATAATTTACAATACGAAAACTATGATAGTTTTCGTGAGCTCAAACTCGTACTAAGGGTACAGGACGCTCAACAGGATAATGCTGCGAGCTCGCTAGCCGACGAACTTAGATATTGAAAAAAATCACGCTAACCAATCGTTCAAAAAGAGTTTTATTCACGAAATATAGTCAACTATATTGCCAAGTACAGAGGAGCTCGAGTTAGTGGTTAGTGCGTTCGGCTGCGATCGTTGAACTTAAGCAACTTTCGCAGTGGTCGGTTATTGGATGGGTGACCAAAAATTACTATCTCGAACTCCTCCGTGCTTCGGACGGCACGTTAAGCAGTTGGTCCCGGCTGCATCTGCAGTCGTTAGTACCCACCAATCCGCACTGGGCCCGCGTGGTGGGTCATGGCCCAATCTCCCTATTCCATTCATAGGGAAGGCCTGTGCCCCAGCAGTGGGGACATTAATAGGCTGATGATGATGATATTGCCAAATGCAGTTAACAGCCAGAGCTCGTTTTTGAGTAATGATGATAAAAAATTATTAATGTTACAAATTAAGTCATTAAGGATATGGTCATTCAATTGGGCAATTGATTTTGACGAGGCTCTATGAATCCCCAACACTAAACTGTCTATGGCCAGACTTACCCACCTGTTTGTTTACTTTTGGCCTAAATTCGTTTGAAACAAATTATACAATACTAGCTGACCCAGCGAACTTCGTACCGCTATAAAAATAGGGGCAGGTGGTAGAAGAGAAAATTTAGGGTTGTATGCATTTTTTAATACCACATCATAAAAAAAACATAATGCCCAAAAAATTTTTAGGGGTATGTAACGTAGTGTTCTATCAATTTCCTGGGGTAACATTCCTCCTAACCCATGTGAAAACACTACGTTACAATACCCAATAGTTTGAATTTTGGCGCGAAGGTACGTTACAGGTGGACAACCATTATCACTTAAGGATATGAAAAATAGATAGTAGCTGATTCTCAGACCCACGGAATATGCAGATAAAATTTCATAAAAATCGATCAGGCCGTTTTGGAGGAGTATGGTAACTAACATTGTGACACGAGAATTTTATATATAAGATATACAAACCACTTGCCCATAAAGGCGTCAAAACCAAAAGACCAAAACGGAACCTTATTAACGACCTCCGCGGTGGAGTGGTATGTACACCGGTTTTCAAGGTGTCACTTACACTGAGGTCCTGGGTTCGAATCCCGGTAGGAGCAAATGTTTACATGATACATACTAGCATTGGTACCAGAGTCATGTTTATCTGTGTATTATTATATGTATTTCTATCCATTACCCTAGTATCCCATAACACAAGCTTTACAGCACCTAGTGTGGGGTTAGGATATTAAATGTGTGAAAGTAAGAAATACTTATAAATAGGAGCACTAGGTAATGAGTCATCATCATCATCATCAGCCTATTAATGTCCCCACTGCTGGGGCACAGGCCTTCCCTATGGATGGAATAGGGAGATTGGGCCATGACCCACCACGCGGGCCCAGTGCAGTTTGGTGGGTGCTAACGACTGCAGATGCAGCCGGGACCAACGGCTTAACGTGCCTTCCTAAGAACGGAGGAGCTAGAGATAGTAATTTTTGGTCACCCATCCAATGACCGACCACTGCGAAAGTTGCTTAAGTTCAACGATCGCAGCCGAACGCGCTAACCACTTGCGCCATCGAGCTCCTTCAGGTAATGAGTAAGGTAACTTTTTTTTATTAAAAAATTAAGGTCATGTTGTCAAGGTGCAAGATGACAGTGGTAGTGCCTTCATAACGTAGAAACAGAAATCAGTTTCCTAAAAATTTGTTGAACACAGATTTATTTTATGGCTATTGACGTTCAATAATATTTACTGGCGAACAGACAAATATTATACCTACTTCAGCCAATTTTACTCCCATGGACAAACCTAAATTATAAGACATAATTTGACGACCTCCGTGGCCGAGTCGTTTGTACGCCGGGTTTCATGGTGTCGCCGACTCGAGAGGTCCGGGTTCGAATCCCGGTGGGGGCAGATGTTTGTGTGATGAATACGAGCATTTGTACTCCAGTCATGGATGTTTAATATGTATTTCTATATATATATTTATGTACTATATATGTATTCTATCCGTTACCCTAGTATCCCATAACACAAGCTTTACAGTGCTTACTTTTGGGCTAGGCTAACAGGTGTTGGAAATATTCATTTATTTAAATGACGCCATATTGAAATACCAATAGCTGATAATCATATGAAATCTTATATTCATTATTATCGTTATTTTATCATCGTATCAGTAAGTGAATAATGTTACCTTGATTGGGTGAAGTGCATAAGAAATATAATATATAATTGTGGAATTTCACATAATAACAAAACAATTAAGATATCAATTAATAATTTCTTTATGATAAAGATTAGAAAGAAGTCCAGACATATAAGATACTTTTAATACTGACTCACCAATGGATAAGATTTGAGTGAAGATATCAAAATCATTACGTGATCGCCAAATCGCCATTAACACAACATGTTTATATAGAACTTCATTAATTGAATGAAGTTATTACATGAGGACCTCGATGGCGCAGGTGGTTAGCGCGTTCGGCTGCGATCGTTGTAGTTAAGCAACTTTCGCAGTGGTCGGTCATTGGATGGGTGACCAAAAATTTATATCTCGAGTTCCTCCGTGCTTCGGCACGCACGTTAAGCCGTTGGTCCCGATTGCATCTGCATCGTTAGCCCCCGCCAATTCGCCCCAGCAGTGGGGACTTTAAGAGGCTGATGATGATTACAACATATTTCTTCTGCCCTTCATCATTATCAATCAGCCTATTAATATCCCACTACTGGGGCACAGGCCTTCCTTATGGATGGAATTAAGAGATAGGGCCATGACCCACCACGCGGGCCCAGTGTAGATTGGCGGGAGCTAACGACTGCAAATGCAGCCGGGAGCAACGGCTTAACTTGCCTTCCGAAGCACGAAGGAGCTCGAGATAGCAAATTTTTGATCACCCATCCAATGACCTACCACTGCGAAAGTTGCTTAACTTCAACGATCGCAGCCGAACCCACTAACCACCTGCGCCAACGAGCTCCTCTGCCATTGCCCTTGAACTTCCTAAAAGGGCTATCAATGAGATTTCATGTGAACATTCTAGTAGATACTTGGATAGTTAGGATATATAATTAGACGCGTAAGGTGGCGCTGTAGTCGGACAGGAAAAGTGTCTTGTCCGCTAGTAATACGTTTAATATAAGTAATAACTTGTAATAGGGGTGGAAGTTAATGAAATACTAATAGGTCCGTAAGTCATCAAAAGAAAAAATGCGTCCATTATGATTTTAAACATCCCTTTCACGTACCTTTTGCAGTTCACTAGATATAGCTAAAAGAAAGACGGACAGCGGATACATAATCGTATATTGCGATTCAATTAAGAATAGGAAAGCCAATGACCTCCATCTGTCAAATGTCGCTTGAAAAGTACGGTTTGCAAAAAAAACTCTGAACACTTTTTTAGCATTCAGCTGATTCTAGAATAAAAACCAAACATTTTTAAACAAACAATAACAAATGTTGATAATTAATATTAGTTGTTTTTTTTTTCATTTTTTGAGCTTTGGCTATGAATGGTTGGTAACCTAAATCGTCAACCAAATGTCACTTTAAGTTGCGTTCAAAAACTCGAATTAAAACTTTCGTTTACATATATGATGCATGTTCGTATGTGACCTGCATGATTATTCATAACTTCTCCGGCGGTACTGCAGAGATGAGCGAAATTGAAGAGCTAGATTCTGATTAATGTTATTTTCACAGTCTTAATAAAGAAATACTATTAAAAATCGGTTATGTTATTTCTTAACCTTAGTAAATTAATGTTATTAAAAAATCTGATGTTTTGTCTCACTTAATCTTAAATAAGTTTTATTAAATAGCAACATTTTTTTGCTCACACTACCTTATTGGTTTGAATTGACAGCTATGACGTCAAAATTTGGCGCCCAGTCGGCACTATTCTTAGTTGAATCGCATTATAATGTTCTTTTGACATACTTCTATGTACCGAATCCATAGAGCATAATACATCCACTACCAGCTACAGTGAGATCGACGAAAAAAAGGTGATCCTGACAGGTCATTTCAGTTCCTTATGTCGATAGAATTAGGGTTTATTTTCGGATGACCGTTTTTATAAGATCTAAAGTGTACTTTATTTCATTTCATTGTATCGTTGGCCGTGCTTAGTATTGAAAAAAACGAATCCGTGTCGATGCCATTGACGCCGAGGGTACACCTCCAGGGTGGACGGGTGTCTCACCGGCACCAAGAACCCGTGCAAACCGTGATTGGTGCCGTCCAGAATAACTGGATTGAATAGCTGTAAGGTCCCTTTGACATCCGTTGTGTACTGAAGCCGTAAAACATACTACAACAACCAGCAGCTAGTTTTTTTTATAGCCAGATAGGCAAATGACTCTACCCCACCTGATCTTAAGTGGGGATAAGTCCAAACGCGAAGATAGCTTATAATGCAGTTATGAACTGCTACACCAACCATCCTCATCCTTTTCTTTTTTTTTATTGTTGGGAAAATGCGTTACGCATACCCCGCCCTGGGTAGGTGGCGGGGTTATGTGGGACTCCTCTTCCCCCCAAATCCCTCCCACCCGCCCAGCCAAGCTGGCTCGGCGGCTGTTCGGGATGAAAAAAACCACTAAAACCCCAACAGTGCTCCCTCGTCTGCCGGAACGGGTTTTGTGGGATCCGGATGACGCTCCACGTTACCCCGACAGAGATTCCTCCTCCTCCTGATGGTCAGGGGGATGCCCGGGAGCACCTAGGCATCCCCCCTCGACGGGTGAGACTATGCAATGAGAGCGACGGACCACCCTGTCCGCCGCCCGCAGTCCCACTAGGGTGGAAAGAGGCGATCGTACTGCCGCCGTCTTCCCCACGGTCGTCGGCGACGGAGAGGGCCGGCCCGGACGTCCCCCTCGCGGGCCCTCTCCGCTGTCTCCTTCTGTAGAATGACTTCCTCGTAGAAGGAGACGACCGCGTTCCAGGATCTGTCACTGTCCAGCATCGCTTTGACGACGCTGGGCAACGAGAGATCCTTAACCATCCTCATCCTGCCGGTCTGCAAACATGCTTCTTCACGCCTCTCTTAAAGGCCCCCAGATTGTAGGAAGTGAAGGGAACACGTGCGCGGGCAAAGAATTCCACTTACGAATAGTATTAAACAAAACGAACCCGTTGTCGATGCCGTTGACGCCGATTTTCTCCCCCATATCTCCGATGATCAGTCCAGGGTAAACCTCCAGGGTGGCCGGGTGTCTCACAGGTACCAAGAACCCGTGCAGACCATGGTTGGTGCCATCCGGTGTAATCAGCTGCGCAAACAGCAGGGTATGCGTACATGTTTTACCTGAAAAGCAACCGAGGCTATAATACAATGCGGCTACAAAGGATAAACGAGCCGCCGCAATGTAGACATTTTTTTTGTAACGAATTAGGCAAATGACTCTACCCCACCTGATGTTAAGTGGTGATAAAGTCCAAACGCGAAGATAGCTGGTACAGCAGTTATAAACTGCTACAACAACCATCGTTACCTTGCCGGCCTGCAAAAATGCTTCTTCACGCCTCTCTTAAAGGACCCCAGATTGTAGGAAGGAGGGAACACGTGCGCGGGCAAAGAATTTCACTTACGAATAGTACGACAAAGAAATGAATCACCATTCGTGTAGGAATAGTGGCCACAGAAGTCAGTGGCAACGTAGGTCAGCGCGCGTGGTCCTCTAAAGATGATGATAATTATTATATATGAGATACAGATTGTAAGTTATTGTGCAAACATGTAGGCAGACCTTCAATTAATAAATAAGTGATCATCATCATCAATCTATTAATGTCCCCACTGCTGGGGCACAGGCCTTCCTATGAAATAGGTAGATTGGGCCATGACCCACCACGCGGGCCCAGTGCGGTTTGGCGGGTGATAACGACTGCAGATGCAGCCGGGACCAATGGCTTAAAGTACCTTCCGAAGCACATAGTAACTCGAGATATAAGATTTTTGGTCGCCCATCCAATGACTGACCACTGCGAAAGTTGCTTTACTTCAACGATCGCCGCCGAACGCGCTAACCACCTGCACCATCGAGGTCCTCAAAGCGGGACAAAGCGTCATGTAGGAAAAAGCCTCACAATATTGCTTCCAAGTTCAACGCGTTGCACGTAACGCACCCCACGGGCTCCCGTAGTTATTGGGGTTTGGCCAAGGCCGTGCAGAACAACTTCTGCCCACCTTCGCCACCTCTGGCGGATCACTAGCTCATAAGCCGCAGGAGACAGCCGATACACTGGTAGAACTCTTAATCATTACACACGATCATACATGGTTTCATTTCTGATTTTGTATAGTTGCTGTACATATCGTGTGGTTGCCATGGATATCTCTTATCCGACCGATAAGTAAACTTATCCCCGAAGCTCACTCAATCGGAACTATCAAGTGAGGCCCTGAGAACCATAGTGGCCTAACTCATTTTTTACAATATTGAGTTTATGATTTTTTTCAATAGGCATGATGACGGGGTACAGTAAACGAAATTCTATTTAGTCCGTCAGTAAGATGATCAAAAAATAATGGACACGTATTTTTTCTTTGGGCAATCAACCAAAAAATGACAAAGTTATAGCGCGTCAAAGTTTGGGAGTAGGGGCTCGTGACGTCACTTTTGAGTGAATTTTCACTTATAAGTGTACTTAAACGTGACGTCATGCGACTTTTCAAATCAATATATCTCTGCAATGTTTATATTATGTGAAAAAGGAAAAAATACGTGTCCAATACTTTTTGATAATCTACCTAATAAACGAAGAAAAAAAAAGTCATCATCCCTATTCAAATTGATCATTTTCATAGAACCAGAGTGGTCTAAAAGTGATACAACGAATATTCACTAGATAACAGCATAATTACTGTTACGGTTTTAAGTCTGTGATGTAAATTTTAGGTGCTATACTGGCCTAAGTAAGATCGACCACTATGGATAAAAAATGAGTTACGCCACTATGGTTCTCATGGCCTCAATTAAGCTCATTATCACATATTGAACACAATAGATTCTTTCCCAGCTCAATACAATTTACATACATTGATCGATCATTAATCTAATGAAAAAATGCGGGCGATATTATAAGGACGCTCATCCACTCAATGCGAATAGAAATAAATTTAAATTGAAACAGGTAAAAGATTGTCAAAATAGGGAAATTTCGAGAACTAACGATGCTTGGTTGAGGAGTTCTATAAGTTTAGACTTTAAGCGGCAAAAAAACATTTGAAAATTACAACTGCCTATTATATACTATAACAGTTCATGATAAACAGTCCGCTGATAGACAAACAAAGGAAGATTAATTGAAAGGTGAAATTGCATTTACGCACTTCCCACGCCCGTGCCCTGCCGTGGGGGTATGTGGGACTCCACGGGGCATACTTCACGCCGCGCCGCGACTACCCACTAAAAACACCTCCTGCGGTCCCATCTTCACATGATGGGGGAAGGGTATCAGCAAGCCTTTGCCCCAGACCCCAACCGTGAAAGCGCCCTCTCGGACCCTCCTCTTTGCACTAACTCCCCTTGTGTGCATTGGCACGAACCGCGGGACGTTCTGGACTCGACTCGTTGAGGAATCTGTCCGTCTCTCTGTGGGGGCATCATCAGGCAGATTGGCCTGGATAGTATGCCCTAACTCGATGGGAAGCCATTTATAATGCGGGGCTAGTTCTTCCCTCCCACGGTCACCTGAAGCTGAGGACTTAACATAAGTTAACTAATATTTTTCTTGGCTAATGATATTTGGTTAATTTATATATATTTTCATATTTTTTTTTAATTTATTAGTTGTACAATAACTTTGCTAGCTAAAAATTTATTTGTCATTTTTGACGTGACAACGTCTTAAATTAGGTTGCGGCTGGGAGTCACTTATGAAAAAGTGTAACGCTCGGTAACGTTACGATGAGTTTAAGTTTACATGTACAATGTTTTAGTAAACAAAATATATTTCTATAGTTAAAATTTGTGCAATTCTTATTTTCATTCAATTCCTTGTTCCTATTGTGCAATTTAATTATATTCATATCAATAAATATTCTACCGAGAAAAAGACGTTGTCACGTAAAATCTTCGCCCGTAAAACCGACTTTACAGGCAACCATTTTTTTCTTGCCAAATGAAAATTTGCGTAAAATAGTTTTTATGTCCACGCATTAGTTATTCGAATTAACATCTCTTTGTTTAGCCTTTTCCATATAACAAAGAGTTAAAATTTAATCCACGTTAAAAAAGAACCTTCACCAGTGTCCGCTAAAAGATGGCGGAGACAGTTTTAGGTTTAAGCAAAATTAAATTTAGTTTCGGAAAGAGCGTGGTCCGGAAAGCAAAAGCAGATGATAGCATTCCCATTTGCACGTCGATCCTGTAACATGCAATCTCACTTTCCATTTCACTAATGTCTTCAATTGGAACTATCGAACTCGGAAGTAAGATTTGGTTTCACTCTAGGTACTAATGTAGTCACGTGCACCTTGGTTTCAGCTAAGTATTATTTTACAAGATCTAAATCAACAAGGTGAATGAAAATTTTATCATAATGAATACATATTATCAATCTTGTTAGTCTATATAATTTATTTGTTATTTCCCCACATTAATAACGAGCGGAACGTGTTTAAACGTCACTTTATCGCACAGATAACAAAACGCAATCAAAGAACTAGACATTTTGAAAAAACTGAATCGACTTGCGTTTTTATCTTGTTTTTGTGTATTTTTAACATTAAAAATGTCTTTTCGTTCGCTCCAGTAGGCCTCCATTTTCGCTGGACGACGATTTCACGAGGACGTATGAGGGATCAAAAGACGCGGAATTCGAAAGAATTTAAGATGATGCAATAAAATTTGGAAAAGTTGTTTTTATATTTTTTTTAATTGGCAATATTATGTAGATTCATTTTCAATGCCCTTTCAAGTCGTATAGAGCACGAGATCTGTGATTTTTTGAACAACAAAGTAGAGCGACCATACACGGACTGCTCCAGCAGTAAGCCAGTCATCAACACACACGGACCGCTCTTGCAGTCAGAGTCAACAGCTTGAAGTGAGCATTTCACCGCGCTGCCACCCGCCCGAAGCAGTCATAACTGCTCCCGCGGTCCAATTCCAATTTCAGGGTTCAGACTGGATTCGAACTATCCGGGCGGGCCTTGTAGCCCTTGTAAATTCGAAATGGCCATTGCCATTGGCAAAGGTCTCGGTAGCATAATCGGTTAGTGCGTCCGCCCGGATGGCGGAAGAAGCGTGTTCGAAGCCCTTCCGAAACCTGGGGGCCAATCGCTTAACGGGATTGCTATAGCTATCGCTTGCGATTACATTTTGTTATTTTGAACAGTAGGTATTCGAAATCGATCATGCTCATTTTCATTAATATTGTTATTACCAATGCTAAGGAAAAAAGAACGCGAGGTATTTGAAAACCTTCGGCGGTCAGAAATAAAATGAAATCGCAAGCAATAGAGATAGCCACAGCATTCAAGTTAAGCGATTGGCCGCTTGGACTGAGTGATTTTCTTTTTATTAAATTTAAAGAAAATTTTTTTTCTTCTAAAGAAAATTTTGAAAGATTTAAGTTTCTCACAGACAGCCCCACGTTTATTAAATTTTCTTTAGATTTAAGTTTTTAGCAGGCCGCGTCCTGCGACCACAGCCGGGGTGACGGCTAGTTGTATTCGCTTGCAACGTAAGCGAGTTTTCAATCACGATTGACCAAGGACGGGTGGCCGTGCAGCCGCAGGCCGCCTCTGTCTTTGATACCCTTTAAATATCTAGCAGTGAAATGCTTAGAACTATAAATATAATGATTCGATGCTCGTGTTCTATATTAAAATCTATATATATATAAAACTCAAAGGTGACAACTTAGGTGACTTACTGACTGACATAGTGATCTATCAACGCACAGCCCAAACTACTGGACGGATCGGGCTGAAATTTGGCATGCAGGTAGATGTTATAACGTAGGCATCCGCTAAGATAGGATTTCGATCAATTCTACCCCCAAGGGGATAAAATAGGGAATGAAAGTTTGTATGAAACTTTGTCAATTTTAAACCGATCGGGATGAGACTTTGCATGCAGGTATAAGAAGAATCATACATGAATGTCATTGTGTATAATACAAGCCTGAGAAGAAAAACTGTAGTCTACACTTCAGCTCTATATCGAAGCGAAGCGAGAGCGGGCCACTAGTTGCCTATAAATTTCTTTTAAAATGCTCTGACTTTGCGACAGCCGTGCAGAGTAACGTCCATTCATGCTTCTTTTTCATAGCGATAGCAATAGAGAAAGACAATACGCAAATTTGAAAAACATTCAATTTAATTGACGTGTCTTAGTACCTAAACCAAATTTAACGGATCATAAATTATTCAGTTACTATTTGCTATTGCCAACTCCGACATTAAAAATGTTCAATGTAACACAAGCTCACAAAGTCATATGCGTTATCGGTTTCACAATCGCCGCTAGAGGAATCAAATTATAAAAATATATTAAGTATTCATGTTACTACGCGATAAGCAATTTAAACATACTTATTTACTTAAAGTTACCTTTCGTCAAAACTGTTATGTATTGGATGAAACGTGAGATATTTTTTAATAGGATATTTAAAATAATTTACGCCTCTCATTTTATACCTACGAACTTAAATGGCAATTAACCATTTTGCAGGTACTTGTTAGTGTTCTTTTATTAAACAAAGTTTATATCATGAGCTAATAATTTAAATTTATTATACAATGAAAGCCTTGAATGACTAAATTGACAACATTAATTAATGTAATTTTTTGTTTTTCTCGAGATTGTGTTTAGGTTAAGACCCATACTTTGGACAAGGTTCAAAGTTCAACGTCAAGGTTCATGTGAGGGCCATAGCATTTCATCATCTTGTCTCGTCAAAAAAAAACTACATGTAATTTACGAACTTCGACGTACCTACGCTTAGAAAACTGGTACTTCACAGCTTCTGAATAACGGTCACTGCACACGGGCCACACCCGACAGCTACAAACGCCGCCGCCACTAGAAGCTAGAAGCGGCTACAAAGTAGTGATGTAACGAATATTCGCATCCGCATTCGCATATTTTTGAATACATATTCGCATTCGAATATGTTTATTAGAAAAAAACAATTTGAAGAAGTTGTAGTTCTTCCTTTCCTTGAGAATATTCATTGTTGCACAGCTTATATTTAGCTCGTTCAGCATCGCAAAGTGTGAAATAAGTCCATATTTCACTAGAATTTGATTTACTCGTGTTAATAAATCACTATTCAAACTCTAACCTCAAAATTCACTTGTTTTGTTTACGAAAAGACCGGCGCGAGCGGAATGACACTTCAATCGGATGAGTCCATATCAACTCGGCAATTCGAACGAGAGTACCACCATGCCATAGACAATTGGCGCCTGAACAAAAACTAAATATTCGCATTCGCGAATGTCGGTACCAGTTATTCGCATATGCATTAGCATTCGCGAATGTTCAAAAAATTATATTCGTTACATCACTACTACAAAGGTAGCCGAAGCGCGCGACAGCCACCTGAGGCCGGTGGTCGACACTTGCCGTCGGTGGCTGCTACATTTTTTGACACATGCGTGCAGTATCATAATGGACTCTGACGAAGAAGTTTTTAATCGCGCGAGTGGCGTGAGGCGGCGTTTTTTATCGGTGCATTAGTGGCCGGTGCGGGCCGCAAGAAGCGAGCAACGACGATTTGTAGCGCGCGGCGGCCACCGACGTTAACCGTGTGCGGCGAGTCCCCATAAAATGTATGAAAACTACAGGAAATATGCCGGTGGCGGCGTTTTGTCATATTGGCCGGTGGCCCGTGTGCGGCGACACTACACTACTACACTCACAAAATAATAGGCCCGTTTTGACATTTGTAATTAGTGATGCACTATACGACTCGGTACACGATACTCACGATAAATCGATTCAAGCTTGTTTAAGTATTTGATTGATTTGATTATGTATTATAAAGTGCATTTGATTTAAGTTCTGATTTGAAAATTTAACTTAATCTTTAATATTGTAGGTAATTTGATACAATGGTAAGAAAGAACAATATGTTTTTCTCAAGTTTAGAACTAATTTCGAAAATGAAACTTCATGGGCGCACAAATGTCAAAACGGTCCTATTATTTTGTGATGACTTTAACGGTCACCAAAAAAAGGTTACTCTGTGGCGCTCAATCTGCCGAGTTCCATACTCAGTAAACGAGGTGCAGATATAAAAGAAAAAAAAAATCACACAAACTTTTACCTAGATTACCAACCCAGCATTTAGCTGCCTCGAAGTCCGGCGTGTGTATGACGAATTGCCTTGTGGACGGGTCGTACGTGGCGGTGGTGCGCATCAACTTCGCGTCTGAACCATGAGCGATCTCCGTCAAAGCGATGCTGGCCAGAATCTGCGTGGAAAATGTTGCATTTACAAATCAACACAATACAGCTGTATCAGCTATCTTCGCGTCTGGACTTCACCTTCATTTAACATCAGGTGGGGTGGAGTCATTTGTCGGACCTATCTATAAAAACAAAAACTTATAATAATAATAATAGCGACGGTATTTGTAAAGATTCGTGTCTGACGTACGATGATCAGCAAAATTTTTCTGGAAAAAAAAATCCTAACCCGTCTTGTAGTTCAACGCTTAAATAAAAATATGGTAAAATGTTTAGTGTCAAGCTAATGCGTATGCATAAAAAAGACCTTTTTCAAAAATCATGGTTTTGCCTGTTATACTAGTTTTTGATTAATATATATAAAATTCAATATCTTATATATAAAATTCTCGTGTCACAATGTTAGTTACCATACTCCTCCGAAACGGCCTGACCGATTTTGATGAAATTTTATATGCATATTCCGTGGGTCTGAGAATCGGTTACTATCTATTTTTCTTATCCTTAAGTGATAATGGTAGTCCTACTGGTAGTAACGTAGTGTTCTGAAACCTACAATGCGCCTTCACGCCAAAATTCAAACTTTTGGGTATTATAACGGAGTGTTCTCATATGGGTTAGGAGGAATGTTATCCCAGGAAATTGATAGAACACTACGTTACACACCCCTTAATTTTTTTTTTATTATGTGGTATTAAAAAATACATACAACCCTAAATTTTCTCTTCTACCACTTGCCCTATTTTTATGGCGGTACGAAGTTCGCTGGGTCAGCTAGATATATTAATTAAATTGTTTTTTTTAAGTTTATTTACTGGGCTTTCAAATGACATCAATATTGGTGGGGGTACATGCGCGTGTTAAGGATTAATAACGCTAGAAAGTTATTTTCGCGGAGGTGCGATTTTTTTAACGCCGAGTGTATATAACATTGACTTTAATTCAAATTCAAATTAAATTCAAATCATTTATTATTCGGACAACATAGATCCATGTGTTAGTATACAATACTTAATACTATGTTAGTAAATTATATTAAAAACAGATATAACCCTATTTACAAAAATATTTATCAGTGGACAGTCCCCACTAGCCACTAAATCCCTCACAACACTACTGCGGCTACCACGAACCCGCCGTAGCAATGTACCTGCTTTTTTGCGCAAAATAGCCGGGAAACTGTCGACCTGCGCATCTGCGAACATTCCCGAAGCACTACAATATCGCGGCAGCCGCAGCAGTGCCCTGAAGGCATTATTGTATTGGATACGGAGGACATCATATGATTTTCGGGTAAAATTAACCCATAGGCTGCTCGAGTAGAAAGATGTACAAAAAGCCTTAAAAAGAGTGATTTTTACAGTGTTAGAACATCGAGCAAACCTACGGGCCAACATATTTGCCCTCTTAGACAATGCCCTTCGCTCCCTTTCAAGGTCAGCGTCATCCTTTAAAGTATCTGTTACAATATGACCTAGATACTTAAATTGCGTAACTCTACGGAGATCAGATCCATATAGTTTTACAGACGGCACGTTTTCAGGAGTCTTTCCGTGAGCCTTAAAAGTCATATATACACTTTTACTGGTATTATAAGATAAACCATGATTGGTTGAATAGGTTTCACAAATGTTCACAAGCATCCTCAAAGCACTGATCGAAGGAGCCAGCAACACCATATCATCCGCGTAACTGATATTATTTACGCAAACACTCCCTACGTGACAGCCGACACGTGGACCGCTAAGCTCCTCAATCAGCGCGTTGATGTACAGATTAAATAATTTCGGTGAAGTTCTTCCCCCTTGCCTAACCCCACATTCTAATCTGTACTCCTCCGAATGAACACCAGCCCATTTTACACAATTGGCCTGGTTCCCGTACCAGAACATAAACAAAGATATTAAGTCTGAGGGTAAACCACACCCCTTTAATTTATCCCACAGAATACTGTAGTCAACCAGATCGAACGCCCTGGATAGGTCCGAAAAACAGGCATATACAGGCGTCTTTCTATCAGTGTAGTACCTGATGGCGTGCTTGAGAGTCCATATTGCACTTTCCGTAGATAAACCAGACCTAAAGCCAAACTTAATGAACATTCTATCTGCGTATCATCATTTAACATTTTTCGTATACCCGTCTCACGTCACGTACCTACACGTAGTACGTCTTTAGCCCCAACGAATGCTTTAGCATGAAGGGGAACATGCTTGCTTTTAATTATATTTTGTAAAATATCCGTTGCACGCATCCGCCACATTTAGTTGCTAATCGGTAACATTTTATTGCGCCCGCGCATTGCGCTATTCATAGAGAGAGGAATAGGGACAGTATTAAAAATAAAGTGCCAATTGTTAGCATCTGTGTTTAGATTGAATATTGGCAGGGGTTTTTACTATTTCAAAAAAAAAACGTAATTTTACTAAAACCCTAGAAAAAGATAATAGTTTTCTTATCTATTGTCACGTGACCCAAAACGACGTCACACGCAAGTATGCTTCCGCTTAAAGTGACATTATATTGTATCGTTTGACGTTTTAATAACAGTCGTGTGACGTCACACACTATTAAGACGCCATATTGTCTAGAGAAACGTTTTCGCGGCAACTTGATAATGGAGTTTTTGATTTGATTATTATTACTGAAATACACAACAGAATGATGAATACCCACTTTTTACGGACTCCATAAACATTAGTCAATAACGTGATATCGTTTTCTAAAATTTGTCAAATAGCCTATTACTTAAATATAACTCCTTCCCCCAATAAGAGAGTTAAGGACATAACGAACGGATTTTATGATTGGGTAGCCTTGTTTCCGTATGTGAGTTAGACTCATTTTATACCGCACCATGGAATGAAATGGAAGCGAATTTTATTTAGTGCATAGCAAAATGAACATTATGTCAATTGAATAACATTCAAACTAAATATGAACCAAATAAAAGTCACGCTTCTTACGAGGAATCCACGCACATTCGTGAGAATTCCCCTAACGACTGTCGGTCGTTTTTTTTTTATTTTTTTTGAGTGTGTATGCTGTTGGTCGCAGTTGACCTTTCCAGCGTCACCGGGTTTGGGGACGGTGAGATCCTAAGGGGACCTCTAGAGGTATTCCAGGCGGATGGCGTCTCCCCACGGGGGGGAGTCTCCTCTCCGTCTGGAGCCTCTAGACCACTCGAAACTGAGGGGTGTCGGTCGGTGTCTCCTATGGAATCTCTCCGCGCGGAGTAGCGAGTCAGCTAGTCAGTGGGTCGCGGTAGTGTGGTCTCTAGCCTCTACGAAGTAGGATATTGATTAAACAGCTGAAAGAGACGCTCTAGGCACAGTCGCGAGAATTCTGGACCATTCCTGCGAAGTCGCGCGGTTTCTCGTGCAACGAAGCGAAATTGACGCGACGCGGCGTCTTTCGCCTGTAGCAAATTCATCTCTACTTTTCCAGTATTAAGGTATCCCAAAGCGAAAAACATCCCAAGGCAACAACAAAAATACGCGACGCGAAGCTTTGGGTCTGCGCCAGTGTGAGTTGAGCCTTAGATGCTTCGGTTAGTGTAGGTAACTCACGGGTGATATGATACTGTACGGTATCGCAAGCATCTAGATAGGCTATATAGCCACCTTCGAATTTTATTTACGCAACTATAATGCTTTGTATTTCTCATATGTTACCTCTATCTATGTATCAAATTTTATAAAAATTGGGTTCAGCGGTTCAAGAGTTGAAGAGACACACAGACAGATCGAGAATAATACAGACAGAGTTACTTTCGCATTTTTAATAAAACATACATAAAGAAAATATTACTGGAAAAAAATCCACGCGGACCAGGCAGCAGACGGGACGGGTTACTAGTAATATTTTCTTTAGATTCAAACATCGAGCAGTTACATGCTTAAAAATAAAAAATATACATATCTATGTTTTAGAATAAAAATAGCTAGTAAATCAATGGAATTCTGTCATTAATTAATTATGTTATGACCTAAACACCACTTACCTCTCGATTTAATATTGTAGCTTCATAAAATTTCAAATGCCTTTCAGTTCCAAGTGAGAGCAATGCATTTGATACCAGATATATGCCAATTGCCATTTTTACAGACACACTCGGGTTGTAAGAATTGACCGCCTCGTTTATTGTCATTAGTGCTCTAGTCTGTGAATAAATTGTAAATAGATATAATTATTAGCGCTCTAGTCTGCAAATAAAGTGTAAATAGATATTATTATATCCAAAATATTAGAAACATAATAAATATGACCGACAGTGCAGTGTTTAGCTCCTTCAGTCTGGAATCATATCCCTTAAGCACCCATTCTTTGGTTTTTATTCTTAGAGGACAAATTTTAGAATTATTAACCAATATTACTGAGACCTTAGACCCTCTAAACAAGTGGTTCTTAAACTTCCAATCTTGCCATACACCACCAGTTGTTTGCACGGACATACTTTAAAATCTACTATATATTAATGTTTTTTTGAATGGCTTAACTACATAGTCAACTTTTGCTACTTGGCACTATTGTCTGACTGTTTGTTTATAGTTTGCTGTTGAATTTAAATCTCACTCACCCGTTTTGAATAGCTAGCCCTGAAAGTCTCGGCAGTATAAAATTTGTACTCATTTATTCGTTTTAACTGCAACTGGGTTATTCGCTTTTCTTCTTCTACAGGAGGTGTCACATTACTGTGTGCGAATAGGGGATCTCTTTCTAACGTTTGCCATATTTTGTACTGAAACAAACAATCACAATTAACATAAACACAATATGATTTTGTTGCAATGGAAATTTTGATTTAAGCACTACAATTATAATAAATTAGTAGAAATGGGTTTTTTTCAGTTGACTGAATGCTGATAGCTTTTTTAACATTGTGTAATTGTGAGTTGTACCTTATATCCAACACCCAGAGCTTATAATACAAAGAAAGAAATATACTGAAACAAAATTAAACAAGCTTAATATATTTTTAAGCTCTGAATTATTTTAAATTATTTGGAAATGTTGATAGTGGTGTCGCTTCTGACGTGATTCTCTAAACCTAAACTTAAATTCGACAATAGTATATCCTTGTTAATATCTATACAGAATGAAAAAGTAATTTTTTGAAGAACCTAATTCACGGAGGAAACAATAATAATAAGAAGGAAATGATATACAAACTCAAATGATTTCAGATAATGGCTTCTAAATGAGATCTCTAATATCCATATCTGAAACTCTCCCAATATATCAGAGGCAATACAAAATTTTAAATATAATTTAACTTTTATATAGCTTTCTTCATTATTATGTATGTACATAAACATAGATATATAATATATGGGTACTATCAGCATTAGCCTATTAATGTCCCCACTCCTGGGGCACAGGCCTTCCCTATAGATGGAATAGGGAGATTGGGCCATGACCCACCACCCGGGCCCAGTGCGTATTGGTGGGTGCTAACGACTGCAGATGCAGCCGGGACCAATGGCTTAACGTGCCTTCCAAAGCACGGAAGAGCTCGAGATAGTAATTTTTGGTCACCCATCCAATGACAGACCACTGCAAAAGTTGCTTAAGTCAATTCCTCAATGGGTAATATAATCAAAGGGATATAGATTTAAATGGGTAATATAATCACTAGAAAATGGCACAAGTAAAACCCCATTAAAGAAAACTATTTAATACAAGATATCTTGTGTGCTTATGAGTACCACTTGATTTTTGAGGTTCTATCACTATTACTGTGTGTCAATAATCCCGAAAATTTCATACATAGTCTAATTATATTGTCTTAGTAATATTTTACAAGGACAATGTTGATGTCATAGTGGTTACTAATGTACTTTTGTTAAGGAAATATATATGAGCTATGTAGTAATGATTGTTTTATGAGTATACCATCAAAATCAGTCTAAAATTTTAAAATTGCAAGGGCATATTTTATAGTCTGGCACCTCAGGCCATTTACTATTTGCACAAATTATAGAAAAGCTGCGGCCTATAAAATCTTAAATATTTTATTTCAACATTCAACTGGTAGATTTATAAATCTTAAGTAAGTACAATAAAATCTTTTGTTGTCTCATCAAAAAACAATACAAAATGGCATAATTATTGCCAAGAGTATGTGAATTAAGAACTTGATTTTATCAACATTTAAAGCAATAAATTATTAATGATAAATTAGCAAGCAGTTCTTCTATTACCTTAAGTTTTAATAATTCAATGTCTCCCTCCAGAGATAGCTTCAAGCGTTTCCAATTAAACGTGGCGCTATTTCTATATTCGCCCAGGGGCCCACACGGGATATCCGGAATGAAACTGAGGTCTTCCATTCTTCAAAAATATTTTTATAAGGCTCTTCTCGACGTCCTAGTCCGCTCAACCACTCACTACTATGCGGGCAAATACTTGCCGAATATGACTAAACGCTGTACTAGATATTTGGAACTAATATAGAAACCCCAGCACGCCTTTTTTCAAGAATACCACGAACCGTGAAGTACAAATCTAGGCAGCAGTGTTAACTGAATGCGTTTCACCTTGGCAATGTAAAGAAATCTATTTATTGAGGTTAACAAGACATTTTTTTTATTAAACCGGGACTGAGAGAGGAGGCGGTAACGAAACAATCAGACGTCTGATTTCTTCCAGCCGCGCCGCAGACTACTAAAAATTGAAAATAATCAGAATCTAATCATATCACACCATCATTCAACCAACCAACCACACGTCATTCCATTCTCCACCACTTGTCAATGTCAAAAAGTACTCTAGGCGTTTATGTCATGTCGAATATTAGTGAAGTATTGCAAATCTTTTAACTGATGTCGATAAAAAAAAACGACGGGTTACATTCCGGGAGTGCCGGCAGAAGTGAAAACTTGAATACATATTTACGTTGTGCATTTTTGATATTTTGGAATGGTTAGGGAATCATTTTGCACGAATTGCTTTAATTATCAGTATAAAAGTACTATCATTTATGTGGTAGAATACAATATTTATTTATTGCGCTATCGTACACAAACATGACAATTTATATTACATTAAAAAAGATTATCTCTCAGAAAAATCAACTTAAATGAATCACGTTTAAGCGCACTTAGCGACATCTATTGTAAAAAAATCAACTTACATGAATCACATTTAAGCGCAACTAGCGACATCTATTGTAAAAAAAATCATTTTCTTCGCAATAAAGTTGCCACCTGAACGTCCGAGATAGAGACTTATTATTAAAATACGATAAAATAAAATATTACTGTTTCGTCCAATATATTCATCAACTTTTTTAATTTTATTGTTTTCGTCAGATCCCCGATCTGTCAAGGAGGTCATGACGCGATCAGCCCACATGTCCTGACGCGAGTTTAACGTTTTTTACCCATACAAAAGTGTACAACGACGCCAAAGAAGTTTTCACTTCAAAAAGAAAAATTCGACTTCCTCAATTTCTAAATAGCAATCAATTCTTAGCATTTTTGGATAAAAGCTTAAGCCGTTTCTTCTTTTTAACTTACTTTATTATCAACTTAGGTCTCGACAAAGCACGCAAGCTCATGTGCTATCGAACAAATTGATTTCTGACCCACTGGCTCGATAATTCGCTTAAAAATGTGTTCAATGTAACAGATCATCGTAAAAATAAAAGTGGAATAGTAGTTTTGATTTCGAAATCACTTTTTAAATCATTAATGTAACAGAGAATGACAATTTTATGATTTTTTACGGTAAAGAAAAACGTTGGTAAATGATTAGGGAAATCCTGAGTAAAAGCTATGCTAAAGACTGGGCAAAACTTCAAATATGTAACGTCAACAATATGTATATATATATATACACACAGGGAGGTGGCATTTTCGTCCGGACCAGAAACCCAAGAATGCAACAGTTGATACATACCGACGTTTATTTTTAAAATGTTTAACACTTTAGACCTAATTAAATTTATGGTGAACAGATTTGTATCGAGCCTAGTTCTAAGTAACTGTATAACTTTTTTATTAAAAAAACTTTATTGTTAAATTTTAATTAACCCCCTTAACTTTATTTATTTACTTATAACTTTACTTTTTAACCTTAATTAGGCCAACCCCTATAAACAATTCTTTATATTACTAGCCGCGAGCAATGTGGCTGGTTACACAACATTTTAGATATAGCAAGCGTTGCTTAATTTTTTATTATATCAAATAAAATAAAAATTCCCGTCGAGGAACTTTATGCAAATATAAGGATTTTATCTTTAGCATAGGAACAAATTGTTACTTAAAACTATGAAGGCCAATGCTGCAAAAGTTTTATGTAGAACATAAGGGTGGGCGAAAGAACCATTCCCATTTGGTCCCTGTGTAACTTTGTATATCATTATTATTAGTAAGTCACTCTGAGCTTGTATGAGCTCCGGTTTCAACTGTCAAATTAGCAAACACAATGTCAATCGTGCTACTCTGGCGAATACATCAACGTGAAAGGAAGAAGAAAACTCAGGTTGTTACCTTAGCTGGCCTGAAACACCTGCTACTAGCAACAATATCAACGTGCGAGAAGATCGAATGTTGGGTACATAACGATTAACACCAAGTTCTCCCTGTCGCACAATAAGAAGAGAACAGAAGCTAAATAAATAGCTTGCTTGGTATCAACATCACAACAAAATTTATATAAAGTCTTTCAAATTCATCGATATGTTTATATTCAGTCACCTCACAACCATTTACTCAGACAATTTTAAAATATTTTTTTAATGGCAATCACGATTTGTGCATTTAGACAAAAAGTTAGTAATCTATGGTTGGTATCAGCTTTGTGCATTTTTTTAATTTCGGAGCACGTTATTTAAAACTACGCGCGTCAAAAACCATTTCAAAATAATAAAATGAGAAACTCGATTAATAGCGATAAAACTATATAAAACGCAACAGCGCCATCTTGCTCATATTATACGAACGATTATAATTGCCTCCTTCACTTTGTTGCTCTTGCGTCGTACACTACAAGGTATTTGCCCTGACAGTGCGGATAGCTTTGCTATGATCACAATAGGTGTCGCTGTTTGACCAAATATAATCATTGAAACAGGAGAAAGAGACAAATTGATAGTAAATATTACTTGTCTGAGAGGGACAGGTACAAGACACCACTACCACAGTAATTTCCACTACATATGCAAGTTAAGTTGCCAGACACATAACAAGAAAAGAGAAGTTGTAAAACAACAACTGTGTTCGAGCTCGCTCAGCTAAACTCAGCTTTGCTTTTCTGTCAGATGTAAAATGGACGGGCGGTCGTGTTGCTGTGCGCTCGCGAACTCCGCGTTTTAAAATCGATGTTATTATTGTTTAATAATTTACGTGAATACGAATATTGTTTATGCGATATTGTTCGACTACTTCGGTGTTCGGTTGCCGAAGTAGATTGTGTTAGTGCGTGTGTTTTTCATATATGACGTTTAGCGCTCACTTCACTTGCAGTGATTTCGCTGATAGCTCCTTACCGGTGGGTGCGCGTGATAAACTACGTGTACGGTTTTAAAAAAGGCGAATTGTCGTCAAGTGTGGGTGTTTTACAGTACCACCATGCTGTATACGGTGACATAGTGAACGTTGAATTGACCCTGACCTCTGACAAACATGTCTGGGCGATCGGATTGCAGGAAATTCGCACCAAACATCTTCAACAAGAGCAAGTGCACTAACTGCTTTCGGCAGAAGGAGGAGCACAGTGCCGAAGCATTGGAATCCAATAGGGTAGGTTCAGAACTTTTAAAATTCAAACGCCATGCACGTTTCTAATCAACAGTCAATGTTGTGTGTGTACGTGCTAGATAGATGGATCACTAAAATAAATGTGAATGTATGCGTGGGCCTACTATACTCATTCAGGTGTTGTGTTGATCTAACGGATTTTATGGAGTTATTAAAAATGTAGTGAGTGAACTTCGTTTTAAGTACGAAGCAGATAGATACTTATTATATTAATTTCTTAGGAATAGTTATTTTGATATATTTAATGATTATTGTGGTGTTTAATAGTACTTAGTTTAAATTAACTCTAGAACATGGCTAGGTTAACTTTGTCTACCCTCAGTTTTGGGTTCTGATCAGAGACCGACCATAGACCATCACGAGGCACTAACATGGGCAAGACTGTTTTGGTCCTTACCCTTTGATTATATAATCAAAAGTCTTACCATAAAACTAGTTAGTCGAGTGTTCAACATAGACACAAAATTTCACAAACCGTGCATGCCATAAAAAAAAGAAAAAGAAGAAGAAGACACAAAATTTGCCCAAACATGGTAGGTATGTAAATGTAAACAATCTCTGACTTTTTTGTAGTAACTACGACCGTTTTTCACGCATAAACTTAAATGCGATATTGTCCATAATTTAAATAAAATATTTAGTTACCTTAGTTATATATAGGACTATTTAAACCGGTGTGCACTACCAATAAATCAGCTAAATAAATACGCTTTATTACCTATGTACCTTGGTGTGTTGTACATTATTTTAGTCGTTGGTAACTGCAAATAGTTTTGCTTTAAATGAATGCATGAATCCCATCCATTCTTTTAATAAAATAAATACTCGGGTGAGTTGCGGCATTTTCATACCTACTATTTTATCCAATTTACTTCCTTTTTAGGGTTCCGTACCTCAAAAGGAAGAAACGGAACCCTAAAAGGATCACTTTGTTGTCCGTCCGTCCGTCTGTCAAGACTGTTTTTCTTAGGAACGCGTGGAGGTATGAAACTGATATTCATATCTAATACTCAGGTCTACTGTCCCTTACAGCTGTGAAAAAATCAAACTTTTAAAAGCCAAAGCAATGAAAAGATATAGCCGTTTATGCCGCAAATTTTCGAAACTCGCACGGGAATCAAAACCTACAGGGTCCTGTCCTCTGAACTTAGAATCTTGATATTTGGTACGAATTAATGTCTTACAGTACAGTTACTCAAAAATTCGGTCTTTGATCGTATAACAAAATACTGACAACACTGGTACGTATTCCTTCTATTTGTTTGTATTTTGATCATATTCTAATAAAAAAAAACTGTTAAGGGTGAGTGGATAACAAAATGAATAAAACGTTAAAAGCTTGTTTTGTTGGATACTTGTTCGCAAACAAAAAGTAATTTCTTATCATTGTTATGATTACTTATGATTAATTTCGCATCTATAGTTGTGTTGTGATAAACCCGATAATGAGCAAATCAACCTATTCCAATTGCAAGTTCTAGAAAAACAATCTCTGACAGGTGAAATAAAGATTAGATATACTTCGTAGGTACTTAATTAATACCGATAGTAGTCCTTTTAAATAATTGTCTTTATTATATTGTTGAAGACGACTAAATCTTGAGCCCAATCTCGTGACAAATGCGTCTGGCAACGTTCAGATGGGTACCAATGTCTTGTTTGACTCTACGCTCTGTAGGCATAATCAAAATAATCTTCTATCGGTCAAAATTATAATACATGTTACTAAAGGTTAATTAAATTGTTTATTTTTGTCTCATCAATTGAACAAATCATTAAGGATACGTCATTATGAGAAAAGAATTACGAAATATCTGTATAAAAGTTAAAATGTCTCAATAAATAAATAAAATTTAGCTTAGCTAAATAAATAAATTCAAATAAATGTCTCGTTTATTCTGAAAACTCTCACACTACAACCTTTTTTCAAAACAAAATATAACGTGTTATATTATACCAACCACTGTCTATTACCATTACGCACCATCTATACTTATAATAAATCTGTAGAGAGGTCAATTCTGTACATGAAATATATTTTCAAAATAACTATCAGGGGGTGATTAGTGATCGATACTGATGCCAAAAATGCAATCAGTAAAATTTTTGTCTGTCTGTCTGTCTGTCGGTGTGTATGTTCCTTATGGAAACAAAAACTACTCGACGGATTTTAACAAAACTTGGTACAATTATTCTTCATACTTCTGGGCAGGTTATAGTATACTTTTCATCACGCTACAATCAATAGCAGCAGAGTAGTAAAGGGAAATGTTGGGAAAACGGGAGAAGTTACTCCATTTTTTAAGCTTCCGTCGCGGGTGCAGCCTTAATGGTTAACGTTACATAGAAATCATGTATGACGAAAATATTCTACATAAAATTGCCTAAAAAATATCCCGCTACAGCATATGTCTATCTTTTATGGTTGACTCATAATAACACGTGTAATTATATAAATAAAGTCAGTCATTGTTTATAGCACAAGTCTGAGAACAAAAACTATAGTTTACACTGCAGCTCTACACCGAAGCGAAGCGAGGGCGGGCCACTAGTACATAATATATTCCAATTCCAAGGAAAAACATCTACAAAAAACAATTGGTCTTACTAACCAGCTATTTTGAATAGAGTATTCTTCAAATACATACCACATTAAGACGTGTTATAGTTATTATGTTGTCCGATGGCCATTTCACAAAATTATTTTAACTCGATCCGGTTTGTCTACACTAGTGTATTTAGCCACATTTAGCTTCTGGTGTTAGCCACGAGTTCAACGAGCGTCTAGATACGGTAACAGGTATTCACAAGGCGGGACATATCACAGTTTCAGTATGAAGTGCTAATTAATATACTACACTTAGCTTCTGGTGTTAGCCACGAGCTCAACTTGAAATTTGTACTTAGTATGGGTATTTATGGGTAGTCAGTCATGCGCTCTTAAAAGTCGATGGCTGGTTCATGCGTCATGCTCGTGAACGGGTGCTACTAGCTGAGATTAGTCTGCCCTAACTTCCTTGATATTGAAGATGTTAATGCCTTTGATAGATGAAGATGTTAATTTTAGTTACACTTAATATAATTAACATTGTTTGTATTTATACTGTATGGCACAGCAATCAAATTGCAGGTAAACAATTAATGTACATTGAATCATTATGTAATGAAAAAGGTGACTTCGTGAATCATCTCTGAAGTCAGTTATCTGCTTGACTTAATAAAACAGGGAGAAAAAAGCACCCCTACAGAGTTTCTTGCCGGTTCTCCTCAGTGCAAAGTCTCCCGCCGTAGCACTGTGGAATATTTCGGTGTGTTTCGGATTAAAAATCTGTAACTCCGTCAATTTGAAAGATAGACTTATAAAATTTTGCTATAATATAAAGTGATACATAAGGATTCATATAAGTAATGTTTGATGAATTGGAATTATGCGTATTTTTTTTAATTAAAAAAGAAAAGTCACAAAATGATTTAAAATAGTATTATTAGTATTATTTATTTATTGAAATATTTTTAGAAACATATTGTACGTCTATTTCTTAATGCTAATTACTCTATTAAGATAACTATCATATTATATTGATAATATAAAATTAAAAATGGTAAAATATTTTTAACACTACGCTAACATACAGAAACAAATCAAAATTATCGCAATATATATTTCTTTTTTTTTGCTCAGCAAGATTGACATCTTACACCCGGTGAGCTTCAGGATCTGAAATAAGTTCATTAACCTTGAGAAGGTGTAAAGTATCTTCATCGAGCTCCTTAACATTTTTTGCATATGGTTTTCTTATGCTCGTTATATATGGATCTGAAGTGTAAAGTAGTGTATTAACACACCTTCGTTTGTAGCTATTCGAGAGCATTTCCGACCATGGTGTAAGCGAAATTTTTTATAGTCCTCAAGAATCTCGCTTGAGCATCTTCTGAAAGTTGCCCAATTGGTAATACCGCGAAATGGTTTATGATACTCTCTCCGTGAATTAAAATTTTGTGGACAGATGATGGCATATAATACCAACTATATTTATTAACGTATATTCTTGCAGTTTCCAGAGCATAATTACCAAATTTCTTACTATCTACCGCTATACCAGATGACAAAGCCTGCAAAATTATATATAACCGTTTAATTAAATCAATGTCAATCCCTGTGATATCAGCAGAACAGGCAGCATTGTAAAAAAATCTCCTAACAGTATTGCCATCTCTCTGCATCAGCCAACCTTAATTTTTCAACAACTTTTGCTTCAATTCCTTCTCCTATAGAACGCAATCCTTGAAGATATGCGCTTAGAATGTGCTCCAAACCATATTCATTTAGCAAAATGGTGTTTTTTTCTTTTTTTGCTTGATTCTAAAGAGTCTCCATATGACACACACGGTCTTCCTCGTTTACCAGAAAAAGTAGACGGTGTAGAGTCTGTTGACACGTTTCCTGATGTTGGTATAGTGAACGAATATTCAGAATCCAACCAATTGGTGTTCTTTCTTAAAAAGGTATTTTTATTGCGTCCTGCTTCACTCCAGCGTTTATTAAACGAACGGATGACATCCCTTTGAATATGGTCAATAATAAAACATATATTGACATCCGAAATTTGTTTTCCCTCCAAATATGTTGAAAGTGCCGCAGTCGTTTTTCCGCCTTCTATATAAGACACTATTAGCTCACGTTTAGTACAGTTAAAAGTAGACATGTTGAATAATGAAATAACCGTACCTTCTAGAGTACGTAGACGTAAAGACCACTGAAACGGTAATGGAGACATATTTTTTTCACTGCCCTTTTTATATTGTTTCAGAATGTGGGAATTATTTCAGATATCTATTTTCTCACGGAAAATGACATCGAAATGATAAAACCTACATAACAATATCAAATAATTAATTCATAAAATGTACCACAAACTATTGATAATAAAAGTAAACTACGAAACCGCATTTGATAGCGATTTCCGTTCCCAGACTAGTATTCGATTTTTTCACATATCTCCGAAAACCGCAAAAAGCCGCAGCTAATTTTTTTATATGTTTTAGATGAGTAACTAACCTATAATTTAACATTAAATTCAAAGCATCGGTAAACAACTCTAAATGTTAAAAGATTCGACGAAGTTGAGGAAAAAAAAATATTTCTCCATTTTTTCTTTAAATTGGTTTTTAAATTTATATTCGTATTAAAAACAATCAATTGTATTTATTTCAAACCTCTGATAAATGTGCTTTTCAAAAATATATAATACCTTATACCTTTCATTTCAAGTTTTAAAACTATTTCACGTTGAAAAACGTAAATGAAGAACTTAATATTTCCCAGCTGCCTAAACGTTTAACTTTGCTACA